GTCATTTGTGATTCTAATACAGCTCCTTTTCCGTAAGCACACTAATTATTTTTTGACTGAAGAGCATATATTCATGACTAGCGATTATAAACATCACTGCATTTGAGCGTGTAATAATATTACTAATTAATAAAATATCCTTCTTTAATTTTACTTCTGAAATTCAATTCTCATTGATGATTTGAACATAGCATTGTTTCCGTAAGGGCCAATAATTGTCTATTTGACTGAATAGCGCATATTCAAGATTAACATGCTATGAATTTTCGTTACGAACGTAACTGTTTTCGAAAATTATTAATTTCCAATTTATTTACCTTGAAATATGCATTTAAACTTCACGAATAAATATTCATTCCCCTTATTTCAAAAGCAAATCAATCTAAAATCATCATACATTCTGGTAAAACCCTGGCGTTATAAAAAACCAATAAAAGAGATCATTTTGTGCCTTATAAATATTCATCAGCCTGCTGAATTTCTATTGTTTTTCTCGTTGCTTTACCTCCACAACGAGCTACCATTTAAAATTGCCCGAACGTGATAAAAGATTTGTCAAGGACAATAATAAACTCCCAACAAGAATCATCACGCATAAAATACTTCTAGTATAAAACCAAAATTCTTGCATTTGAATGGTTTTCATTTCTGGGAATAAAATTTCTCCTTCCCTCAAATCCTGCCCAGTAGCTTTATGTATGTATGGTAATGTAATGAATTTAGTAGATACAGGAAATTCACTGCGCATTCCTGCATTATTTTTAAGATATTCAATCTTCCTCAATGTCTGATGTTTGGATTATTTAAAAGTACATTAAATTTTACTTGTTAGTCTTCATTCCAAGTTAAATTCTGTTTTAGATACTTCTAAATTAAAGGTTCTCAAATGAGGGGAATTCTTTTTGGAAGAGAGTTTTATGGTTTCATGAGGGGGATCAGTCTTTTATTTACCTGTTAAGTATTTAATTTCAGCTTATGAACATAAAAATCTATTTTTATCGAAGTTTTTGATCTGTACCAACATTTTCCATTTTTTCTCTTTGCTTAGTTTATAAAACACATTAAAAATAGCATAAGTTTAAATAAATGTGTATGTATTTTACGAGATTTGCAAAAGAGGAGGCGATGAATGACCGTCTAGCAATGGTGAAAGGCATATTCACAGTATAAAACCGTTTCTTATACTGCTTGCTCCGATTGGTTAACACAGGAAACGTAGAGTTACAGAATCTTTGGCGACTTTTGCTTCATCGCCTTTGCTATTTTTATATGAGCGTGGTGTAGTGAAAAGCGCAGAAACAGCAGCTCGGCGGTACGGAGTACGGAATTCATTCGCAGGTTTTTTAGTTCGTGGGTTCTGTCCCCGCTAATGAGTTTTACAAACTCCGCCGTGCGCGGACTTTTTTTTATCCTCACTTTGTTAAATGACTTTATCATTATTGGTCTTTTCGCCTTCGGGTGCGGTGTTAAAAATTGAACACCTTTATTTTCTCTGTTTTTGTTAATGCTAATTTATTCTTATTTTTATTTACTGGTTTGTACTCTTTGTAGTAGGTTCCAGTGGCAAGATTACGATCCAAAATCCCGAAAAGCGTTAAACTGAAATAGCGCATAACGGAATAAAATATAATTTTAATTATACTTACTCGTAATTTAAGTAAAAAGAATAGGTATCCTACGCCCTTAAATGTTTATTGAATGTTTTCATTTGGTTTATTTTTTTAATATTCCTTTATTTGTATCAATTAATGTGCTATGGAAATATACACAACAGACTCTTTATAACAGAAATGACGGAAAAGTACATATGCCATTTCCACGTAAACACTTTTTCTTGCAAAACAATTATCGTACTTTTACAGTTTAAATTCATTCTTTAACCAAATACAAATAAACTATTAATAAGACCATTTTTGAGGGTTATTTAAAATATATTCCACACAATCCCCCTTAGCTTTCATTCATAAAATTAAAAAAGATCAAATGTTTAATAATTAGGCTGTTTTTTCTCGCTTTACTGAAAGCCCACAAGGTATGTTTGGCGTTAATTACCAAGCCTACAAGGCGATAACTCGCCATTCCAAATATCACCGCCACGTAGATGTTTCATCCAATGAGAGCAGACCATAGAAGGAATGGTCTGTAAGCTTTGCGAATATATTGATGAAAGCGTAACAGGAGTCAAAAAAGGTTGAGAACTTGCTATGGTAGCCGTGTAAGTGAGCGGTAAAAACCGTTGAATGCTGGTAATTCGGTCCGGGGTTCGAGTTCCGGCAAATGGGCTGGCTGGCGTGGGCGTTTTCGTAGTTTTGCTTATGTGTAACGTGGATACGAGTCAGTTTTCCTTAAAAAACCTTCCACCGGGCATCCTTCCCTCTCCGTTTAGCGCCTAAGGGCGAAGCACGTAGTACGTTTAAGAAAAAAAAAAAAAAAAAAAACTACTGTTGTAAATTGTTTTCAGTTTGCTTGATTTCATCATTTATAGCCAGTTTCGTATTCATTCGATTACTTACACTACAGGAAATGCACATTTAACTATTTGCCTACTACTACAAATAGTTGTCAATTTACTACAAATAGTGTTGTGACGTATCTCACTTCCCTGACCGTGACGTCATAACAAGACCATGGAATTCGTCACAGCAAGAAGAGCAGCATTGCGCCTGTCGTTGGCAAAGCCTTGAACTCCATACAGATGAGAGTACGACTTCACTCATTTTCGCCCCCAAGTTTGAAAGAGAGCACCCCGGGAGGATGGTTCCGAAAGTCTTCTGCCACCAACTTCTCGAGAGGCATTTCGGCTCGTCGCATATTTAGAGTGACCCCATACCGCACTACACATTTACAAATATCCAGGGATTCGAACCCGGGCCCTTCGATATTGCAATAAGCTCACCTAACCACTGTACCGTTTGGACGACTCTGAGAATAGTTGTAACATACTACTACGAACAGTTGTAAATTTCACATATTTTATTAGAATTTTCGTCAAGTGCACTTTTAATTTTAAAAAATTTATTTTGCGTTTTTTAAGGGAACGGACTCAGAAGCCTTTTGATTAAATATGTCATAATGATTGGCACATTTATAAAGCGGAAAGTCTATTAGAATGCTTACTACTTGAATGCTCAGTATATCTGTCTGTCTTTTCAATAAAAAATTATATCGAATAATTTCAAGTTTGGGGGCAAATCATTAAATACATAAATTGCCAGTTCTAAATGTTATTCTCATCTTCCTTCATAAAATACTTGCCTTATTTTTTTTCTGTTCCATTCTTTTCACCAAATCATATAAAATATGAAACTTCTTATCATATAAACTACTAAACTTTCATTTTAACACTGAAGCCCATTTATTCATTTTTTACATTGAAGAATTACTGAAATTTTATAGCTCTATTTATATATATTTCAAAACTGAATAAATTATTATTCTCTGAGTCAGTATTCTGAGAAAATACTGACGATTCTTTCATAAAAACTCTTATATTTTTCGCTCTTATAAAATTTAAAGCTATTTTCACACAATTAATCTCCTATTCAGTCATTATTATCTCGAATTCTATGATGGTATATTCTAAAGAATTTTGAGTTCTAGATTGGATTTGATTCAAATAACCTGGAAATTGTTAAAGGCTAGATGTGATTACTATTAATTTCTTAACGAGGTACCGTCACAGGCACTATTAGGTTAATTTAATACAATGGCGGCGTATTTTAAAAGCTTGATGGGATTTTTCTCTGTTGTAGTTCCTGTATCAGGTTTTACCATTATCAGTCATTACCGCCTCTCTGCCCGTATAGTGGTTAGTAATACTGACTGCCGTAGTAATGGGCCTATGTTCGAATCTCGGAAAATGCATGAATGCTTATAAGCGTATAGTGTTTGTACGAAAAGGGTCATTTAAAATACGCGGTAGGATGAAAGTCCTCTGAAGATGTTAATGGGAGAGGAAAAGGAGATAGGGAGAACCTCTGACGGTCCCCGGGTAAGTTTCTCCCTCAAAATTAGGGCAGAAGTGAACAGTTAGTTCGGCAAGACTACATCTTCTCGACCAATACTGAAATTCTGGTGTCCATCTCACTTCTACTGTATTCTGTATAAGAATTACCTTGTTGTTTTTGTTGACTAATGCTCACTTGTCTGTCGAATGGTTTCCCAAGCCCACGAAATTCCTCGTGGCAAGGAGCGCAAGATTACGCCTGCCGTTGGCAACAGCCTTGAACACCTTACAGGTGACAGTACGACTTGGCTCAATTCCGCCCCCAGTTTTGATGGAAAGCATCCCAGGGAGGACGGGTTTCCCTGGGTTGCGAGATTTGTTACTATTTGAATAAAATTTACTCAGATAGGACTTACAGATCAGATGTAGGTATGACTTACAAGTTAGAATCAGAAGAAGGTGTACTGTGAAGGTTTTAATCCTCTGTGCGGATTTTTAAAGGTGAGCTCCATGTGAGACTATGAATCGATGAAACCAAATACTCAGCTTTTGTTTCTATTCTGTGGGCACAGATTGTGTTTTTGCTATTTTGATTGGTCAGGCCTAACTGCCTTTCCATAATTTTAATTGTTGATCTTAAACCTGTTGATTAATTTCTTAAACCTGTTGATTAATTTCTTTCTTTCTGTTGATTTTCCATAATTTTAATTGTAGATCTTAAACCTGTTGATTAAGTCTGGATTTAACTTAAATATAAATAACATCTACGGCAGAAATATCAAGTAGTCAATGATAGAGAGACGTACTAAGAATTAGATAGAAAAGCAAGGTATTTCATTTTTAGATTTTGGGAATAGCCCACTTGATTTTATCTTCTTTTGCTTTCAGATTAGTTGCAGTTGATTTATTATAGTTCTCATATTCATAATAAGAACATGTTACTTCCTATGCAAGCCATTTAGTGATATTATTAATTTTGTTGCATGGGATAAATAATAAATATATTATATGAATTGGGGAGAAAAAACTAACTCTATTTTTTCTTTCTGTCCAGTATCTCCTGACAAAGCAAGCGAAGATGCAGTGCTGATTGTCCAAAGCATCGATTTTCAAATAGATGAAAATGTTAGTTCCCATTTCACTGGCGATTATGACATCGTTCAGTCCGAAAACAACGCCCTGGTTCTTCGCAGAGGGTTTCCTTTCAAGCTGGGAGTCACTTTCAACCGTGCCTTCGACAAAGAAAAAGATGTGGTTTGTCTCGTCTTCACTGCCAAAGGTATGTTATTGCCATCAACAGAATAGAATAGATATCGTCAGACTTACTCCATTTATTAATATTTTTTCTCGAATTATTTAATTCCATGTGTATAAACTATAATCATTTACAAGGTATATAAACTTGAAGACACTGATTTCTTATTTTTTTAATATCATTTTATGCTACATAATTTTTCTTTTGTTCTTTTTTTTTTAAAGCCCAAAAGTGTTATTAGTCTCGAATTAGGATTTTGCGTTGGTTCACTATAAATGGCGTATCTTTTTTCAAACTGTTGCCATCAAATATTACTGCTCTGTAAAAGAAATTAAATAACGAAAAATCGTCATGTATGCATTGCTGCGTGAGTACAGGTTCGTAATAGATTGAATGCAGGAACTTTCCACAAAAATCGTCGTACAACTCTTCACAGTATCACAGAATCAGTAGCTGCACTTCAAACTATTAAGAACGCTAAACGCAACGCAATGCAAAGCGCATCTAAAGAGCGAAGCTAACCTGGAGGTATCTTAGTACTCCGAACTCACGCTGAACTAACAACTGAGAACAGACGCTCTCTCCAATCTCACAGTTTTCAATCGGTCACTGATGTATTTCTAGTACTTTCTGCTTCTTGAAATTACTGGAACGGATACGAGGGCCGAATACGGTTACGGTTACACATAGCATCAAATACATTTGTTCAATTACAACATACAGGGAAAAAACAAATTGTTGCCGAATGGTTGTCAAGTTTGGCGACTTTAGTCGATTGCTCCTCAAATTTGGCGACAAAAATTCTGAACTAACAACTCACAACAACTGAAAGCAATGCTGTCTCCGGTATTACACAGTTTTCACCCGGCCGCCGAGTTATTTCTAGTTCTTTCTGCTTCCCGAAATTACTGAAAGGCATATGAAGGCAGAATTACTGTTACAGCTAATGAAGTGGTCTCTTACATTTATTCAATTGCACTACCTATTACGGTCATAGAGGAACCGGACCAAAATGTCGCCAATGGACGCCGAGCTTGGAAACTTTTGGCGATTTCTCCAAAATTTCGCGACAAAAATTAGAATGAAGAATATTCCCAGCTTGGCGATATCTTGCCAAATTAGTGAGTAGTGAGATAGCCATTTACTCAATGTTAAATATACTGGCCCCTGTATTCTTTTTTTTTTTTTTTTTTTTCAAGCATAGCGTCGTCTCTCTAGATTTTTCATGTTACATTATACAGAAAAATGCAACAATTTTATTTATAATTGCACTAAAATCCAGGGCTGTTGAGTCAGTAGGGAAAATGACCGACTTCTGGAATTTTAATGACTCCGACTCCCTCATATATGTTGTATATATATATATATGTGTGTGTGCGTGTGTGTGTAAACATATATACATGAGTTACAGCTTATTTTTTTAATATAAAAGGAGTAATAGATGCTACAGAAAAAAAATTGATGGCATAGCAAATTATTTATATTAATTAGCATTTATTATGAAATGGAAAAACTGGCATTAGTTATTTCTAAGAAACAGTATATCTTCGGCAAGATTTTCTTTGTTGGAAGGCCATTAGATCCGATTTGATGAACTTCAGAGCCGAGAAGTCTTTCCACACTAACTTGGGTAGGTGGAAGAGCTGTTACTGTTAGGGCTACTTCTTTTAACATTTCAGGATAGATTTTTATAAGTTCTAAAAGAGGTGACTTGCAAGCGCAATTATATTTTTCTATTTCTTCAAAAGCCGTGTAGAAATCTTGTTTGTATTTTATAATTTTTATATCTAAAAGCACTTTTTTTTTATTTTCATTCGCTTTGCCTTAGCCTTTCCAATATTATCCAAAAATATTTCTCAAAATCTAATTCATCAATGGAAAAATATGGTAGAGACTCAATTGCAATGTCTGCAGTTTGACTATCCTGATTCGAATTCTCCAATTGTTGTTAGAATAATTTCATTCTTAATGAAAGTTCATAGATGACTTCTTTGCCTTTTTAATTCGTTCGTCATCCAAGAAAATTCGGTGTTTCGGATCTCCATATATTAAACCCAGCAAGATCTCATTGTTTAGCAAACTAGTTTCTCTTTCTTCATTGAAGAAATGATTCCTTCTACAATAAACCCTCCATTTCAGAAAGAACAAACATCCCATTCTCACCTCCTGTCAATTCTTCTCATTGCATATTTTTTGTAGCTATATACGGTATAGAAAGAAGAGTTTCCAATTCTGCAAGATCATTCCACGGTCTTTCTATTAGTGAAACATTAGAGTCATCTCATTAAAAAGTTCTTAATTCTGAAAACCTCTTTTTCATCAAATATGTGCTTCCTTATCGCATTTGCTTGATCAATAATTGCTCCTTTTCCTGCTCGCTTCCTAAGAATGGCATCAATTTTGGGAGTTCTTGTTGTTATTGCTGCTTACCTAAATTTACCAGTTAGTTTTGTAACTAAATGAATCAGTTTAATCACTAATGGCAAATATCACATCCATCCTACTCCCTTATATTTATTTATTAAACAATAAAATAGAAAATAACTATTTATTAATGTATACAGTCCATAAATAAAACTAATAACTCAGCTTATTAATTTTTTTAATTCATTTTAATTTCATTTCAAATTCAAACGGTCCAGCGGAAATTGGGAGTCGACTTGTTTTTAGCGACTCCAGCTCCGACTGCTTTTACCCCAAAATCTGCCTCACTCCGATTCCGACTCCACAGCCCTGGTAAAATCATCTATCTATGTACAAAATTTGTAACAGTATGTATGTTCCTCGCACTCTAAAAGAAAAGGGAGTACCTAGAGCCATCAAATTTTGATAAACGTGGTCCTCCATCCAAACATGTGCAGCTGAAACCTCAAATTTTAAATTTCGAATTTGTTTTATTATTTATTTCATATTCCATAAACCTTTAATAAACTTTTTATTAACAAGCTCAACAATTTGAAAATGAGCGGCAGCAACACTGTTTGAAATAAAGTATTTTTGTCTACAGCGCGCGCGCGAGACTTCTATCAGAAATCCTAAAGAAAATTTTAAATGCAAAAAACGTGATATCTGATAAATAAAATTAACACATAAAAAGTTGATCATGAAATAACAAAAAAATTCTATCCGTCTTACTAAAAAAAACTGAATATTAATATGATCAACAGGGAAAAGAAGAAATCTATACCAACACTTAACTATGCACCTAGAATTCTAAGTATATGCTGCTATGCAGCTTTTAAAAATTTTGTGATTTTTTTATTGAATTGTATATGGCGTACGAAACAAAATGATGCTTATTAAATCTAAGAAATGTGGGTTAGCAGGAGGAAGGACGAGAACAGACTATATAGTGACTTTATAGTGACTATAACAGACTTTATAGTAGACTGCGAGCTCAGCGAGAGCGTAAAAAACCTCGACAAAGCCTGTTGGACGACGGTTAAAATCTGATATATTTAAGGTTTTTTTAAATTATTATTATTTTTTTTACATTTTTATCCGTATGTCTCTTATAGAAATTAATATAATTTAATTTAATATAAATTAAAAACATATATGAATAGGTCTACTAATGTAACTATACTCTAAAATTCAAAGAACAGTTGCTGTTATTATTACAAATTCTGGTACTTTTCCATTTTGCTGGCGCAAGCGATAAAGTCTCCAAAAATGGTACAAACCATGCCAAACGGAATATCCTCGCTGGTAACCTTTTACGCTTCATTTTCAAAACAAATCGCAGCCGTTTATTATCATATTGACTGTTTCTTTTAATACTGGCATACAATTACATAGAAGTTTTACCAGATAGTTCAATTTTATGCCCTAAGACCATTCGCAGTAATTAAGTCAATTAGAATGCAATCACACCGCTCACCCGATGACGAAAACATAGAAAAGGCAAAATCAAGAGTTAAATTCATCATTTCTAATGAGAATGCACTAGCGAAGTAAAGCACTACGGTTTTACATAATTTCTGAGTAAGCTATTCGTACGAATTGAAATAGTTCTTGAACTTAAACTTGTATTCCAAATTAAGATTTAACTTGAAATTAATGTAGATAATTACTGAGAGAATTAGATTTTTGTAGCGTAGTCTAAGTGAGATGAGATCACTTTTGGGATCACGTGATATGAAACGGCGAATCAGGATGTTGCACCATGAAAACATAGTAAATTCTTAAATTATTGTCTTTTTACAAATTTATTGTCTTTATTTATTGTCTTTTTACAAAATTTTAAGCGCTATTAAAATGTTTATGCCTTCAAAATAAAAATTTCATAGAAGTAACATTTGTTAACATTTTTTATGTGTATACTGTGTGTTATCGCCAATAAAGTCTGCTTGGCGAGACTTGCACCGGCGAAACGGAAAAGTACCCAAATTCTATTCATTTTATTTACTCAAAGTACTGTACTATTTATTCATACTTTATATACATTTACCATAAATCAGAAACTTCTGAATGTTCTGAATTCTGTAAACGCAAGGGTACGTTAGGAGGATATTTATACCAGTAAATACGGTATTCATATGCAGATTTCCTGTACTAAAGTTTTTAAACCAATTACTATTATTCTTTTCCTTGTGAATGAAGCTAAGTTTTTGCTAGTTATAATTACAAATTACAGAATAATTCTGCCTTTGTACAAAATATTCCCGGCAACATTTTCCTTTTTAATGAAAATCGGGGTTCACAGATCAAGCTACTTTTATAACGGTGTTAAATGTGGGCATATTATAAGTTAAAGCCCTTTTCGCAGTTTTCAACAAATATAAGTTGAAGCCCTTTTCGCTGTTGTCAACAAAGAAATTCTCACGGGACCTGAATTTTTTCCTGGGAACGGACTAACTTCAGTATTTAAAAATGACTTAATGATATATGTCTCTGATAATCTCTGCGCAATGGAAACGAAGTTCCATTGTTAAAACATGTTTAATTTGAGGATTAATCAAGTGAACTCTCTACGAAAAATATAAAACTAAGATTTAAAAAAATTAAGAACAAATTAGGAACAAGATTAGAAGCGTATAAGATGATTAAAGGCCATATTTTTCAAAAATTGTATTAAATTATTCATATAACAGAACGATGTCTGCTACAATCCGACGTATAACAGGACCAATATAGCAGAATAAAGATCTACAGAAATGAGCTGTTCCGTCTTCGATGAGACAATACGCAAATTTATTGTACATATTATCCGTCCTGTCTAAGTTTAACCATTATACTGATCAGATCTAAAAAATGCCCAGTCCACAGATATCGTTATCGTTACCTAAATGCTTACCGATTCTGTATAGCTTCGTTTTTAATTAACTGACCTATTCTGTCTGGTGCAGACGGATATAAATATAGAGAGAAAGAGAAATCATAATGGAAAATTCGAGATTGTATGCATATATGTATCATGAAAGAAGTTGTCTGTTTTCATAGATTGTCAAAGCTAGAATTTCTGTCAAAAACTAATAATAAAAAATTTCATTATTTCTCTTTTCTTTTGTGTTATAAATTAGTACTGTAGAAACATGTTTAAGAAAAAAATAAAACAAATAAGTAGATTAAACAGAAAAACAAAACAAAAGAGAAATTTTATTGCCTGGATTACCTTACTTATCCAGTTACATGAGTAAATGACCAAGTAGTAATTTCGATTTCATATGTATACATCCCAAAATATATCTTCATGTTCTCCTTTTATTCGAATTAATTTTAATTTTCAGATCCTGTTTTATTAATATTTAATTTCAAATTTGATATATATATATGTAATGATAATTATATTTTATACTGCTGCAGATGCTTCCACACCATCTTATTCTCAAGGCACCATGATTTTCTGCCCTGTTGTTCCATGTGATAATTCAGTGCTGCCATCTGATGGATGGCAATGCAAGCTTCTGTCTGGCGCAGAAGAGAGCTCTGTTGTGCTGGAGGTAATAATTACGTTAATTAATGACTAAATTTTCTCTGTTTAATTAAACATTATGAGATATATAATTGTATATCTTTCATAAATTATTGTTCTGTGTGATCGTATAAAGGGTTTGGGTTTAAATAATTTCAGAAAAACAGGGTAATTTTTTCTTTCACTTAAAATATGGATAGAAATAATGTTATGAAAGTAATGAATAACGATCTCCTCTGTTTAATCAGTTGTTTAAATAAATCTTATTCTTTTATAGAATGTCAGAAAATGACTGCAGTATTTAGTGAGGTATGTTGAATAGTGTAAATGTAAGACAGATTTTCTAAAAATTTGTAAGAATTATTATTTAAATTAATCAGTTATTTATGATTTCAGCCTTTACTATAACTTGTGCGAGTTAGAAAGTATTTATGCTGCTGTTTTTGGATTGTACGAGAAAGCGTGTTTCTGCCGCTCACGGGTACGTTGCGTAATTCCTGCCAGCTCGGATAACTTTGTAATTATTCGGCTTCGAATTTTGTTGCCGACGTTTAAATTGATTCGCCGATTAGAGTTCTTGAGCCAGCTTAGATTTAAATTTAGTTATGCACTGTTCGATTACTAGTCTACGTTTTAAATTTGAATTTGAGTGTTACTTCAGTTACATAGCCACAAGTAGTGATTGATTCTGTTAGCATAAAAGCATTTATGTTTAAAATTCTGTTTTAATAAAAAGTTTTTTTTTTAACCTTTTCAAATCTTTGGTTACTTCAGACACATCGATATTCCACTTTATGTCTGTTAGGAGCTTAGAACTAGTTTATGCTCCCCAAACAAGCCAAACTCTGTAAGTTATCGTGCGGCAGCGGGAAGTATACGAATTTTGGCAACGTAGAGTTAAATAAAATGCCGCCATTTTCTGGTATTTCAAAATTAATAGAGAGCATTATTTAACTCGATTATGGCCTCAATATGTGTTGTTTGAATTTTGAGAGTATAGCCATGGAACCTTGGGTTATTTTTTGTTTATTAGTTAAATAACAAGCGCAGATGAAAGATAATATTTCTTTGAATTTAAAATTAATTCTGCAGTATTTATAAAATTCAACTGTAAAAAATAAATAAATTTCCTTAGAGGCAAGAACAATTCATTCTGAAAAAGTCAACAGCCTTTTAGCTGCATTTCAGTCGACTTCAGTTACACTACTTCCGTGTATCAATTTTAGTGTGAAATACAAATTTCGTTGTTTTATATTTGCACACATCACACTTTTCATCTATTCTACAGCTATTTTTTAAGACTATAAAAAGTAATTACTATAATGTAAATGATAATACAGGATATTTTTTAATGTTGTAACTCCTTTTGACTATCCGAAAAAAAAAAAAAAAAACCCTGTCCTAGTGTGGCATTTAAAACCTGTCCTAATGTGACATTTTTTTACAACTAAATCTTCTAAATATTTCTGTGCACATTATTCACGAAATGCATAGAAATGTTCGTATTTTTACACAGGTAGATATCTTTTTTATTGCAAAGTTTTTATTTCATTTATTATTGCAGTAGTCTCATTTTTTATTCCCAATAGTTAATTTAGTTAATTTTATACTTGTTTCTTTCCTACCAATGCAGGTGACAACCACACCTAACTGTATCGTAGGTGAATGGATCTTAGAAATTGACACCAAAGTTAAAAAAGAAAGAGAAGAACAAGCTAAAAGCCTGAGGTACACATCAAAGAAACCCATTTTCCTTCTTTTCAATCCTTGGTGTAAACGTAAGTTACACTTCTGATACCATGATTATTTCTTTTACATAAACTGATTCGTTTATCCTTGCTTTGGAATACTATCAAACTTTATTCCCTTTATCTCATTTTTCATATTTAAGTATGATGCGCAGACGAGAAGTGTAATGACTGAATAATAAAATATATTTTAATGAAACAACCATAATTTATGTAAGCAGGATCAAGGAAAGTACTTTTCTTAAAATTTACTATACGTTTCAAAACTACGTCACGAATATTTTAAGTTTCTGATCTACAGAAACGCGTTTAAAAGATTGAAACTTTGCCAGAATATCTGAATTATGACATCTGCATAATGATTTTCAATGCGTCTTCCTCTTCTCTAAATGGACCTCTCCCAGTTTTGGCATACGTAAAATATTGAAAATCTATGTAAGATTTATACTGAAGTTAAAATAGCAAAAATCACAGATAGAAAAACTCGATAATTTTAGCCCGTTGTTTTGTAACCCACAAAAAGAAAAAAATAATTGTATCTAAAAATAAAAAGTTATTTGTGTTTAACATTGGTAGGTCTTATTTGGTTCACCCTGTATTAGAAGCTTTCTCGTTCAAGTTTCTATGGCATTTTTTTTTTTTTTTTTTTTTTTTTTTTTAGTAAGCAAAGGATTATTCCTTTTAGTTGATAAAGAAATAATCGCAAAAATTATTTTTTATTACAGAGGATACAGTGTACATGAGTGATAGTGAACATAGGAAGGAATATGTTTTGAATGAATCAGGTTTAATTTGGAGAGGAACCAATAACAGACATCGTCCTTGTGTGTGGAATTATGGACAGGTAGGTGTATACAAGTTATTAATGTACTTTTCACGTTATTAGCATTACAGTCAAGGGTTCAGTGTATTTATTTTTAGTAGGCCAATTGAACGAGTTCGATATTTTCTATATTCCTCGGGTTAAATCTGTCCGTAACTGGGTTATTATTCGGCAAAAATTTACAACAGAGGGCCGCTTGATATTTTTGGGAACGCCAAGAATGGCGCCAGAAGGCTAAGTTTCCAACATGGTTGTTACGCCGAAAATACATGTTACCAAATTAACAAAAGTGCTCACCTCGTGTGTTCTTGACTACGTCTCATCGTCATCGTCGGCACATACATAATGCAAATCAAATAGTTCCGGAATTGATCCTGCTGCTCCTAATCGCGGTATTGGTGAGGCAGGAATACAAAATGTCATCCGACGACTGCCGAAGAGCCCGCTTGCGAAACTATCGCTTAATGTGGCTCCCCATGCCCTCAATGGTATTGGTATGAGGGTCAGTTCGAGCACCTGTCTTGCGACAGACTCACTCATAGCCATCCGATTGATCCACAAGCTCGAGAAGACACATATCTGTGTACAAACTTGACATTCAATAGCGAGAACTAATTAAAACTTCATTCGTACACCAATCAGTTATAACTTTCTTATTGTTTCGTCCTAAATCAATTAAAAAATAGCATTTATCTTGCCAGATATACTTCATGGAAGTGACAGGATCAACGATTAATTAGACCCAGCCAGCGAACAAAACCCAAAGGTCAATTAACGGCAATTAAAATTCTAATAATTCAAAGCAGGTGATACGTGTACTACAAATCACTTAGTCCTCGATAACTAAACTAAGAAGTTCCAATCAGATTAAACTTATGAAAAACTTTAGCAGGTAGCAATAAAATAGTTGCCATAACGTTGGGTAAACAGAATAGATTCTGGGTTACCAGAAAACCGGCAGCAGCGTCTGTATTTGGCGCCAAATCAAAAGGCATCCTTTTCTATACTAGAACCTATAACTCCTTTTGTTAGATAGAATTACTGCTTCCAATTTGAACAAATGGATAATTTGTTTCTAGGCGATGATTTTTATGGTAGTTGAAGTAATCTTTTTGCCATCTTATTATGTATTGTAGATAGCACTTAATTATCATTTTCCTTAAATTTCTTTCTTTTATTTGCAGTTTGAAGAAAACGTCTTGCAGTGTTCCTGTTACCTTCTTGGGCACATTGCAAAACTTTCCATCGTAGCTAGAGCAGATCCGGTGAAGGTTGTTCGGCATATTTCAGCTGTGGTACTTATTTTTTATTTCAATTTTGAATTTGAAAAAAAAAACTTAATTCATTCATTAGAAAACTATTAATGACATTTTAAACAAATCTTTTCTTTGAATGCATTTAATAACGAAATGTGTGCGCATTTATTTTTCTAAGTGAGATCATCCAATTAGAGGGAAATGGAATAACCTACTCTAAGAGAAAGCTGGCAGTGCTGATCAATAGACTATTGAAAAATTAAAAAAAAAAAAAAAGAAAAAGAAAAAAGAAAAAAGAAAAAGAAAAAAAAGAAAAAAAGAAAACTTTGAATCGTATAGAGACATACATGTAATTCCACATACAACATGTAATACAGTGTCCTAGAATTCGCTTCAAAGATACAAGCCCTCCTTTTGTGGTCAGCTGATACTCAGTTACCTTTTCTGTAACATGTTAATGATGATACGCTATTACCCTATGTTACGTTATGATACGTCAGTTACCCTTTCTCCGTTTTGCTGTTTCTGTTAAAAGTGAGTTTTCATACTTCAGATTAGAATTGAAAAGGCATCTTAATACATCTGGAATGTATGCCATTAGTCTGATACGTTATTAGTCTGATACGTTATATCTACTTAAACATTTCCTCTTTATGAAGTCATTTTAGATTATATCTTTAAAACATGATAAATGTTTCACATTCATTGCTTGTTTCTGCATATCAAAACGTTATTTCATGCATATTTCTTATCTTTCACTTTTATTTTATTTATTCATTCATTTATTTATTGTTCTTATTGAAATACTAATTAAGAAATTCGTGTGCTAAATTGTGTTCGAATCACAAGGTTAAAAACCGCTGCAAAGTGTTTTGCCTGATTTTGTAGATGCGATCTTAGTAATGCCTGACTTTGTAGATGCAACTTTTTTTACTTTTCTTAGGTTTTTTAATATCATTGAATTTGCATTATCGGAGTATTTTGTCACCACTTCTTTTTTGAGTGTTTCCACCGACTTCATATTTCTGATAGCGAAATATATTTTCCATACTGTATATTAATTTTTCCATATAGGTTAATTCTCCAGACGACAACGGTGTATTAGTTGGCAACTGGTCAGGTGATTATGGTGGTGGACAGGCACCCACCCAGTGGAGTGGAAGTGTTGCCATTCTCCAGCAGTACTATAAAACTAAAAAACCTGTGAAATACGGCCAATGCTGGGTGTTTTCTGGCGTTGTAACTACAGGTATTTATAAATGCATATTTTTGCACCTTTTTAGTTACATTTCAAACAAAACTGCATGCAATTTATTTCTCAAGTTGTAGAGTCATTAGGTTGATTGGAAGCAGAAAAGATGAAAAATAGCAACCGCCTTCGCCGCGAATCGAACCACGTACCTCTGGAATACCGGCCCAGCGTGCAGAACCACTACACCACGAAGGCACGCTAGAGAAGTGGGAGAAACACCTTATATACTCCCCTTTTTTAAAGAGCGACTAGGGTTTTAAGGGACCTAGTCGCCAAATCCTGGGTGCGGAGAATCATCATCCACAACCCTTTTAGTTCGGACGCCACTTGTAGAGACATTAGGATTTCTTTGGAAGCCAGAGATATGAAAAATTAGCAACCGCCTTCGCCGGGAATCGAACCGCGGACCTCTGGAATACCGGCCCAGCGTGCAGAACCACCACACCACGAAGGCACGCTAGGGAAGCGGGAGAAATACCTTATAAAGTCATAAATTATGCGTTAACTTAAGACATCGTAGCCATCTTGTAAATTTATTTACTAATAACGTAATGTTAATACGTTATTAGTAATTAGCCTGTGATTATTATTAGTAGCCTGTGATTTTGAACCCAGGAACTACTTTCCTTGCGGCTAAGTACTTTATGGCTTAGCTTCTAAATCTTATAGCTATTTTCAAATTATTTTTATTTCCCGAATTTTTGCCCTTGCTATGATTTACATCAACGTCCTAAATGGCAATATAATTGTGCAAAATTTTCCTTTTTTTTTTCATTCATCTGTTAAATCTTTATCATCAGAAGAGACGTAATAAATATATATTTATCTCTATAATCTTTCATTTATTTCAGTATGTCGAGCCTTGGGTATTCCTGCACGTTCTGTGACCAATTTTGCATCTGCTCATGATACTCATAATAGTCTTACCATTGATTATTTCTATGACGAGGATGGAGAACCGATAGAGAATCTTAATATAGACTCTGTGTGGTGAGTACTACAAAACTTGATTTATTACGGGTTGGTTTTAATCATTTAAATGACGTCTGCATATCATTTATAATTTTGAAATCCTATGAAAGCAAATACTTTTGCACCTTGTGGTGCCATAGTGCTCTAAAAGTATCCAAACAAAATTCTAATTTAGATTTACAGCATGTGATTTTTGCCATTATAGCTTATTAATGTCAGATCTTAGAAGCTAGAAGTTGGGTGTATAAAAATTTCGCGCTCGTCAAAGAAAATGAAGAAACATTCTTTAAAGGAAATAAAAATATGAATAAACAAAACAATTCTGAAAGGTTTCAGATTTTAACGGTCGCTTAAAAGGGTTTCTTAAAGTTTTTTACGCTCTTCCTGAGCTCATAGTCTACCAGTCTGCTGTTACACTCCTACTAACCTTTTTTTTTTTTTTTTTTTTTTTTTTCCCTTTTTAGCTTTATTATTAAGCATAATTTTCCTGGCACTGAAGCCATATACAATTCAACAGCAAAATTAAAAAAAATTTAAAAGCAGCATAGCAGTATACGTTTAGAATTCCTGATGGAATGTCAAGTGTTGGCATGCATTTTTTTCTAGAATTTTCTCAATTCATCATATCAGTGGCCACTTTTCTTACTAAGATAGATGGCTTTAGAAATTTTTTTGTCTTTTCTTTTTATTATTCGTTGTGTGCTTACTTTATTGTGCCACATAAAATTCTATTCAACAGCAAAATCACAAAATATTGAAAAACAGCATATCTTTAGAATTCTCTCGGGAGAATTCTCTCGCTTCCTGGGGATAAAAGTGTTTTATTCCGAACAGTGTTGCCATTGCTCGCTTTAAAATCCTAGAGTTTGTTAATCAAAAATTCGCTAAGTTTTGCCAAAATATGAAATGGATAATAAAAGCAAATTCAAAATCTCTTTTGGTCTAATAAATAAATAAAAATATCATATTTACTGTTCACTTTAATATCGATCTCTTGTTTTCAAAATCTTGCTAAATATCTGGACCCAAAACCCGTGTGAATTGCGTATTTCTCATTATTCAGCTGAGTTTTGAAGCCAGTCGCTTTATGTTGCATGTCGTTTGTCCCATGTTTTATGTGGAATTTTTCTTAATAAATAAATATACTGGGCATCTTCATATGTTTACAACAGTTTGAAAAAAAAGCTAACAGATAAATCACATGACACACAAATACAAAACATTTTGTGTATGATGAATGCTTAGTGTATGTAGGCTTATTTCAATTTTCAGGAACAGACCTAAGTATGAACCACATCTGCGGAAAATTACGAGCAGTGCACTTACTTATAATAATTTCGAAGTCCTATCATGTTGCTAGCATTTTGGTGAGTTCGGATATTGTAAGCTTCTGCTCTGTACGCTTTTCTTGTTGAATAAATATCAATCCAAGAAATTGTGTTTTACTGTAAATTATGATCTCCAGAAGTTCGCTTACTTTTAATCTTGTTTTTTCGTGTTTAATTCATCATTATATTAAATACATTTAATTTGAATGGAATATTTCCTTTTTAATTTAAAGGTATATTTGTTGATTAGCAATAACATACAATAATATATTGTATAAAATATTTAAATCGCTATGATAATTGTATACTTACCAGAATTCGATATTGAAGAATTCTCCAACTCAGTGTTATCTGTGAAATTATTGCCTGTGAGAATACGTACTGTAACGCTAGACAGTCTGGTGATTGACTGTTATACCTTTTCATTAGAACCACCGGAAGCGTTTTTGAATAAAATCATGAAAGTGTAACGTCAAGAAAAGTATCCTTTCCATTAGATTACTCTTGCGTCGAATCTTCTGTATGGTGATACCTGAATTCCTTTGTAACAGTAGGCAAATAGATAGTTACAGGTTATTTTTAACTGTCCATATGCACTCTTTATTGATGTATTTCTTGTTTTCTTTTAACATTTGTCATTCCATTTCCGCTGAAGAATGCAAATTATTATTCATTTGTCAGATTTTCTTTGTTTCTCAGATAGTACTTTACCATTTATTGGAGACAGGGCTTAATTTCTAAAAGAAGAGTGCCGGAGCCCTATGGAAGACCTTCAGGAAAGAGCAACAAGAGTGAATAAATAAATAAAATTACTGTTAAAATCATTAATAATTTAAAAATTAAATAGTTAATGATTATCAAATTAATTAATAATTATTTAATTCATATAAATAATCATTGTATTAATTATTATTTAATTTATAATTATTATTTATTAAATTATTAATTTATTATTATTTATTTATTAAATTAAATAATTACCCGTTTAAAAGTAATTAAATAATTAAAATTAAATAAATTGTAAAGGGATAAAATTTAATTAGCGATTTTTAATATAATTTTATTGCTAAAAATAAAACTTTCGAGATCAAATTTGGACTGACATTGCTGTTTCCAGTTGCATAAAAGAAGTGCCGAAGCCTTCTATTTAGGGCTCCGGTGCGCTTTAGCTAGAATTAGAATTTATCCCAAAAACTAAGAAGCCACCGGAGCCGGGCTCCGGCACAATTTATGCTCCGACTGGAGACAAAAAGAAGCTTCTTATAAGATGTGGTTTTGCTGACTGATAGATATGTTTTCTTTCTCTGGATTTACCTTTGCCGTTTTCATCGTTCGAGTAATCTACTTTAAGTTTATTGTACTTTAATTCTGTTATGTTCTTGCAGATAAAGTGAGACTAAAATTTTCGAAATTATTTCTAGGAATTTCCATGTGTGGAACGAAGTTTGGATGGAAAGGCCAGATCTGGAGCCTGGTGGTTACTCTGGATGGCAAGCTATTGATGCTACACCCCAAGAAGAATCTGATGGTATGAGTTTACATACTATTCAAGGCGTTAGTATTTTTAATCAATGTGATTGTTTTTAAGTGGAGAAGAAATGTTTACGTTAATGTTTATGGTGAGTAGAACAGAAAATTTATTAACGTATTTAAGGAGCAAAGGAAGTAAGACGTAATTATTTGTAAATTTCATCGAGATTCATTAGCGAGATGTCGAAAATAATCTATGTAGATGTAATAAATCATAGAGTCATTCATCTCATCATTGTTTAAATCACCACATAGTAAGTGATAACAATATCGCGATAAAAGTGTTTTTTAAACATTTGTGTCTGTCATCTCTGGACTAATAAATATGAACTTAAAGTAACACCGAATGAAACAAGGTGAAACAATGCAATCGAATGCTCTTGTTTCTCATAAAATGGAAAGCGAATTGCCTAAATGACGAATCTAGAAAATACTAACAATGAACTCGGCTTGTGGTGCAATTAGACTTTAATGTGAAAATATGCGATGCTGCCATTGTCAAAATTATAGTTGGCTAATTAACTAAATATATAATTAAATTGAAAAGAAGTAATATAGTTGCAGGTAATGAGTTGCTTTGTTATATCGAATTCAAATTCCGAATATCTCATTTCTTGAAAACTGAAATATCGCATTGAGTAATTTCACTTATCGTATTCTTTTTTATTATTATTACATTATTAATATTATTTGAATAAATACATAAATGCAAATTTGTCATTATAGCTTAATATGTAAAGGGTATTTTAGTTCTGGAAGGGAATTTTTGGTTAAATTGCACAATTTCAATACAACGAATTAAATAATAATAATAATAATTGTACTAATGCTTCCAGATGATTTTGTTCTCCCGTGGAGATGGTGAAGATAGTGCTATTGGGAGATGATTATTGATTTGAATAATGAAATGTCTCTATACAAGACGTTTGAAATATGTTTTAAAACAAAACACTAAAGCGTGATATTTTGGTTTATTAAAGCTATTATATCAATAAAATTATGAACTGAGTTCGAAAATAAGTAGCGAATAATATACCCAAAAAAGGCAAAAACTTTAAAAAATAAAATCTTAAACTTAATTTTCTGAAATACTGCAAGTGAATAATTTTTCAAAATACCGGAAGTGAATTTCAAATTTCAAGCGAGGGGCGGGATTTGTGCAGTTATTTTAAAAGTTATCACTAGTACGTCTATATTTTTCTTTCAAAATCTTTCGAGACATAATACCAGTAACGCCTTTTACCTTTTGTTTTATAAACATCTTAACTTAAAGTTAAAAACTTAAGATGTGCGAAATTTAAAATAAAAAATTTCCCATGCCATATACTCCGAAAAGGTAATAAAGGTGATATCAAATATACGTACATAGTCCAGTCACATTAATATGATCAGTACTTACTTTCGACATCAACGTGATATAACCAATCACAAAAGGAAGGTGGCAGCACATTGCAATGGAGGTACATAAAGGGTGTTCCAAAGAAAAGCATCACAATCGTTGGAGTAATGCAGAAAAGGAACGATTTATCTGACGTTCAAAAGGGCATGATCATTGGCTTTCGGGCCAAGGATGGAATCATTTCCAAAATGGCTAATTTTGTAAACTGTTCCCGTGCCGCCGTTGTAAAAGTATACCGTGATTGGCAAAATGGCTTTATTCAAAAATCAGCGACGTGGCAAACGTAGTGCACCAGGGGGGTAGATGACAGAGGTGAACGACGACTGCGGAGATGCGTTCGAGCGAATGGGCGTGCAACCTATGCTGACTGCAGTTCATCGGCGACGAAGGTGGAATTTGCGCATCATTATCGCAACTGGACCTCCACTGAGTGGCGTTAGATAGCTCTTTCCGATGAATCACATTTTATGCTCCATCGGACAGATGGGCATTGGCGTATACGGCGTGAAACGTTGGAAAACAAACACCTTGCAACAATTTCCTGAAGGGTCCAAGCTGAAAGGAGCATTATGGTCTGGGGAATGTTTTCGTGGCCTTCTCTGGGTGCATTCAACTCTGTGGAAGGCACGATGGATCAACAGATATCCGCATCTGTTCTTGCAGACCATCTCTACCCCTACATGCGAATTGTTTTTCCCTCAGAATGATGGCATCTACCAGCAGGGCAATGCGAAATGTTATACAGCTCGTATTATACGTGCGGGGTTCGAAAAGCACCAGGATGAATGTACCGTACTCTCTGGCCATCAAACTTCCTGGGATTAAATCCAATTGGAAATCTGTGGGACAACCTCGATCGGATTGCTCGTGCCATGGATCTTCAGCCGCGTAACCTAGTGCAGCCGGCCACTGCACTGGAGTTGACATGGCTCAACATCCTAGGGAACACTTTCAGGAACTCTCTTCCTGCACGTCTTGCAGTGGTCCGCTCTGAGAAAGGTAGTTATTCTAACTTTTCACAAATGGACACATTAAGGTGACTGCACTGTGTAATTAAATAAGCAAATACAGATGAAAGTTAAATGTAAAAAGAAAGAAACTATCTTGGTGCAACTCTAACGATGATTTGTCATCATTACTAGCAAGGCACTTCTGGAATTAAGGTTGTTTGATAGCGAAATTGCACATACTGATAGGGCCATGCATATTTGATGGTCTCCACTGAAACAGGGATCTATTATCTTAAAAAAAAATAGAGAAAAATATTAGAATTATCAATAATGATGCTATAATTATCAATATTAACACAAAAATAGCAGAATCTGGAATATCAGTTTAAAAAAAGTAATAATAAAAGATTTTTTACAGTCTCACACTACAAATTATGTTGTTTTACTTTTTTACAGAATAACGTTTCATTCTTTTAGGTCAGTATCGTTGCGGGCCTTGCAGTGTGGCTGCCATTAAACGTGGTGAGATCCAGAAAGCTTACGACGCTCCTTTCCTTTTTGCCGAAGTAAATGCTGACAAAGTGTATTGGAGATTCCACGGCAAGAATCAGCCACTGAAGCTCATAAAAAGACAGACAGAAACGTAAGTATATTTACGGTAGTGTCCACCATATTTTTGTCTGGTGCATCTTAGAAGCTATATGGGCTGTCAGAGTTCAGAAAAGCGAAAGTGAACTATATCCGAGCCAAGAATTAGAACCACGTGTCTTCAATTTGCCAGGTGAATATGTTAATCATTTACACGAGAACTGCAACGGGAGATGAAATAATTCTTTGCATTTTCCCCACTTAAAAGTGACTGTATCTCGTACCTTTCCCAGGTCGGCCAAATCTAATTGGTCACGCGTTGTCTTTAAATAAAGCTAGATGAATATGATGATCACTTACAGCATGAAAGAGCGTGAGAGGAAAATTTAATCTAATATAGCATTGTTTATCAAATCAATGAAAATGTATTATATAAAAAGTGTCGCGCTTTATTGGTACATTTTTGAACGAAAATTTTCTTTATTGAAAACTAATTTTAATCAAGTGCATATTGACGATTATTATCTATGATCTTTTGCCATTTTTCGGGTAGCTTCATAATTCCATCGGTGTAGAACTTCTGTGGTTTATCGTCGGAAAACTTGGGCAAGGGATTTTCAGCGGCTCTTCGGTCGGCCAATTTTTCACCATCAAGTAAGTTTTGCAGACACCGAAGAAAATGGTAGTCAGACGTTCTAGGTTTGGGCTACATGGTAGATGCATCAAAACTTCCCAACCAAGTTCCGTCAATTTATTCCAAGTCATCAAATATGTCTCCCTTTAGGACTCCCTTTCTAAACTTTTAGAACACAACTCCCTTTCTTTTGGCCAATTCTGGTCGCTCTTTCTGTATTGCTTCGTTCAAACGGTCGAGTTGTGCACAGTACAGTGCCGAATTGATGGTTTCGCCAGGTTGCAATTTATGGGGCACCCAAACATTGAGCTTCTTTTTTGTAACCTGCTCTTTTCAAATGATTCAAAACTGACATGTGGTTGATGTTTAGAGACTCTGCTATTTCCTGACAGCTTACGTGCCGGAATTGCTCCACCAGTTGCAAAATTTCATCGACTTTTGCAGTGACTGACCGACCAGAGCGAGATGCATCTTTGATATCGAAATTTCCGGAACGGAATCGAACAAACCACTCCTGGGTCCTTCGTTCACTCACAGCATTCTCACCATACACTTCACAAATTTTTCGGCATGTTTCTACAGCCTTTTTACCTTTTTTATAGTAAGAAAGCATCACATAACGTATTTCTTCGGATATTTCGCTCATATTCAAATCAGTTTAACATTTTATACAAGCAACGAATTAAAAAAACTATTTTCTCAGACAATGGAAGCTTAATGTCACCTTTTAAGTACATGTTCCTTTGAGACAATCAAGTGAGTTGTCTCAAACCATCACCATCAACACCATCTAGTGGCAAAAAAACGCGGAGACCTTTTATATAACCCAATATTTTCATGTATGAAAATATAATTGTTTTACCGACAGCATTACTGCTTTCCTCACTTATAATTTTAAAATTATCCCGTTCCCTCGAAAAGTTTCCACAAAGACAACTATGCTTAATTCTTTTTCTTAAGATGGTGCTTTGTATTATTGGTTATCCATGTTACTGAAAGTAATCGTTCTCAACTTTTACTATATTCATACATTTAGAAAATATCTGATGTGCATGCATATTCTATATAAAAGTAACAAAATGGTATTATTCTAAAAAAATATATCACATAATTCGGAACCTGTGACAGGACAATAAGTCACTCTTGTCACAACTTCTGATATTCCACGTACCTCTCGGAGATTCATTAACTTCAAATTACAAATCCTTTTGTTAAATTATAAACTTATACATATATATATTTACCGAGAGCTTTACAATATAAGTGTTCAGATGTCGTAGTTTATTATAATCCGGTAGTATTATTTTATGCTATATATTATGGTATATATTTATGGTTTTGCATTATTATAATCCGGTAGCGTTATTTTTATGGGTCTATGTCATGTTCGTATCATACAAAACATGAATTAAAATATAAACATTCGGAAAATACAATCACAAAGAGTAGAAAGTAAGTTAGAATTATGCTACTCAAAACTTTTGTTTCGGGATTTATATAACTTATGTATTTATATTATCCGATTTTAATACTTCAGTTTTCTTTTTCAGAATTGGCCAGTATATAAGTACCAAAGCTATCGGATCTTATGACAGAGAAGATATTACTAATGAATACAAGTACAGCGAACGTAAGTAAAGTATACAAAGAGTCGATATTCGGTTTATAAATTCAGACTGTAAGCTATAATACTAAGGAAACTAGTTCTTACCGACTGTCTAATATTATTTAAAATGCATTTAACTTGATTTGCATCCTATAACTACATAGAAAAGCAGATAAAATCGCCAACATTTGGAAGTTCTGTTCTTGTTTTTGTTCTCAAGTCAAATGAACCGTCTTAACAACGAGACTACAAGATAATGTAAGCAAATTCACCTCGATTTAGCCGGAAAGTTTCAGTTAATTTATATATACTGTTGTTATGAATTTACTCCGGCTCCTTTGCAAGGTAGTTTAAACACAAAGTAAAGATCCAGTTGTTATTTAGATTCAAACTTAAAAGTTAATATGCATGTAGAATAAAGTTTAAACTATCACAAAACATACTAGAAAAAATACTACAAAAACATCATGTTTTTTAACATACTTTCACCTTTTTCTTTTTTCTTTATTAGTATTTCATACATATTGTGTTTTTACATTATAAATAACAATTGGATCTTTACTTTGTGTTTAAACTACCTTGCAAAGGAACCGCAGTATCACTTTAGCTCATAGGCAATAGCTTGAAGAATTTACTTTTCAATATTATTTCAAATTTTGCAGCTCAATGCGCAACATTCTTGACCTCACAGGTCCTTTCAAGTTTAGTTAGTTTGCCTTTCTTCCATTATATATATACATAGACACCCCAAAATATATATATATTGGGGGGGTATATATTATATATATATATATATATATATATATATATATATATATATTTGGGGGTGTAACGTAACATGAAAATTCAAAGAAGCGAAGTTTTGCCGAAAACGTAAGAATACAGAAGCAAGTCTATAACATTGACTAAATGGGTATCTCACTAAATTGGCGAGATATCGCCAAGCTGACGACGGTTTTTGAGAGTACTGTTTGTTGCCGAGTTTGACAAGAAATCGCCAAAAGTCACGAAACTTGACGAACATTCGGCAACATTTTGGTCCGGTCCCTGTATGTCTGTAACTGTTATTGTGATTGAAGAAATATAATTAATCTAGATACGTAGCTGTAACCGTATCCGGCCCTCATATGCCTTCCAAAATTTCGAGAAGTGGGAGGTACTAGAAATCTCTCCGCTGGCGGGGTAAAAACTGCATAAGACTAAGAAGAGCAGCCCTTCTGAATAGTTGTTGTTTAGCTTAGCTTGATTTCGGAGTATTTAAAAATCTCCGTGGGAGCTTTGCTCTTTAGATGAGCTTGGCAGGGTGAGTTCGGAGTATTTTCGTGTGAGCTTAGCTCTTTAGATGCGCTTTGCATTAGGTTGTGTTTAACGTTCTTAGTAGTTTGAAGTGTAAGTACTGATTGTAATATGATACTGTGAAGAGTAGTACGAGTATTTTTGTGGAGAGTTTCCAGAACTCTAAAAAGTTTCTTTTGGTAAAATAAATTTCATCAAGCTATCATCGGTTCTGTGTGCATTCAATCTATTAGGAACCCATACACATTCAACTTTATTATATTTATACTTATATATATATATACTATGTTGAATACGTCTGTTAAAATTTTGAAAATTAGAAAAAGAAAAAAGTGATTTTCGCTATCAACGAGCTATTTGACAGACTAAAGAGTATGAAATGGCTCTTTTTTTTTTTTTTTTTTTTTTTTTTTTTTATAGTAACAACATAATAAAAGTCTGAAAACAATTAGCTTTTTACATTATATGCAGTTTTGTAATTACGCTGTGTACAAATCCTCCAACTGATAGTCATCCAACTTATACCGCCTTCTAGGGTTTAGGAACAAATTATCATATCCCTATCAGTTAAATGATTTAGAGTGAGTATTTAACGCCTGCCCTTTTAAGACAATGGTTAATAAATCGATTAGGTATTAGATTATTTTTGAGAATTTTAATAAGGAACAAAATTTCGCGTTGTAGATTTATTGTATCTGTGCAAATATTTTTAATACGTTGTATTTGATTTAATATTGTATTACTAATAACTTTTTTGGAGATGTTGGAAGTAACTTTTTTGAAGATGTTGGATATAATCAGTATTTCTTTAGTAAATAAATTATTATTTATGTACTATAATATTAAACTATACATTTTTCAGTAAATTTTAATATAATTGTTTTTTTTTTTTTTTTTTTTTTTTTTTTTTTTTTTTTTTTTTTTTTTTTTTTTAATTTTCTACAGAGAGTGCCGAAGAGAGAGAAGTTATGCTGCGTGCCTTGCGACAGTGTGGCAATGTGTTCTCTCGCTATTACTTAAACGATGAATTTGAAGATGTACAATTTGATTTGCAACTCCTGGACGACATAGTTATCGGATCCCCCTTCAGTGTAAGTATCGTTACGGTTTTTGTGTTGAATTATCTATTTTTAAATAGAATTGTTATTAAATTGTTTTATTTCCCCGCGCAATACTGCACGCGACTTATTTGAAGAGAAAGCTACGCCGAAAACATGAAAAATACAGGTGCACGCGCGTTTAATAAATAGATATCTGGTAATTGTACGCTTTTGCTTTTCGAGAAAAATCGAGAAAATACCAGAATGCGCTCGTGCGTGCTTTAAAAAGCTTATAAAAGGAGAAAAACATCTCAATTCAGTAGTTGTTTTATGAGTTTGTTTAGAAAACTTGTTGTTTACTGTAGCAAATTCGCGGTGAAACCGGATTAGCTTTCTCTATTTGAATTAGTTCTATTGAACGTTTTGGTATTTTAAAAGATACCTTCTGTCAGATATTGCAATATTGTACGAATATCTGAGGAAATTTAAGCATTTTGTTTTATTTGTTGTGATAATAATAAATTTTATTCACTTTTTATCGGACTTGGGCATTCAATTTATTACGAACCCGTACGCACGCAACAGTATTCTACTTCAAGCTTCACATTTCTAACATATTTTCCGTTTGATCATAGTACGTAAAACGTTTTGACTAAAAATTCCTCGTATATATTCACTAAATATTAGGTAGAGAGAAAACAAAATGTGTAAAAGGGATTTTATCTATTCAAAATATTACCTAAAATAGTATGATCTCTAACCTCCTAAGTTAATATAATTTATCGGGTAACAGTTTGAAAAATTATTTATGTAAAGTCACTTATATTTTGCACACTTTCAAGAAGAAATCAAATCAGAAATTGTAGGAAAATATCTTTCGTTAAAACTAAAGAAGTTTTATTTCTCTGTAGAAAATATTTATCTGCCATAGATAGGAAAATAAAAGGCAGTGAAAATTAAATTTTTTAATTAAAACTGGAAAGAGATAATTGGCAATATAAAAGCTATGAGCAAAAACAAAAAAACTAATAATTAAAGGTTAAACAGGAAATAGAATTCAAAATAATTCAGTAGTACTGATTTCTACCCTTACAAAAGTAAAACATCCTTCAGAAGCCTTTCGTATGCCGAAATAATGATTACTTTTAATCCATTTTTAAAGACAGGCGGTAAAGATAATTTTAAAAGCAACTTTTAAACCCTTAAGTAACATTAAAATAACAACAAATCAGTAACAAGGCATAAGAGACCGCAAATGCCATCTCCATACAAGGACTAAAGTAGAGAATATTTTATATACCAGTAAGTTTGCGGCTCCGTGTAAATAAAAGATCTATAAAGACTATTCTAAATCTATAAACATTTATCTAAGTAATGATAAGTGTTAAGAAATGGCAAAATTCAGCAAAAGAATTCGAAGCTTAGGATACATTTGCAGGCAAAATCGTGCTATAGGTCATTTTCGGTGAAGACAGAAGGACTTGTGTATAAACGTGATGGCAAAATCAGCGGAGAAACCCGGAAATTGCAATTTTTCAAGAAGTTTTCACGTTGGCGAACTTGAAAATGATAAAATCTTGTTGTATACATGTTTGCTTTGCTCTAGAAAATGCATTAGAATAATAAAATCGATTCACGGGCCCGTCTTTGAAATTAAACAGGATCTGGAAACTAAATTAAACCATGTTTCAAAGTCCGTTGGCTGAAGAAACAATAGACAGAAATATTGGAAATATACCCTACTCTGTGTTGAAATTTCTAGAATTAAGAAATGCAGTGGAACCTCGAGATGCAAGTTTAATTCGTTCTAGCATTGAGCTCGTATCTAGAAACAAACTTCGCCATTGGAAATAATGGAAGTCCAGTTAATCTGTTCCGCAACCCCCAAAAATATCAACATAAAAATCAATTTTTATAATAAATAACACTGCTAACCGTAGTTTACCTGTATGATAGCTTCCGACACCGACCTTTTAACTGCTTCTCGTTAATCCCCGCCAACAACAGCTTCTCAGCATCTTCTAGGAGTTTTGGACGGTGCTTAGAAGTAACGGTAACTCTTTTGGCTACATCAAATTTCTTAATTCCTTTCTGCTTCTTCAGAATAGTGTAAATCGTTGATGTCGAAAGGCCGTAAGTCTTCGCCAATTCCGTCACTCTTATACTATCTGTGATTTCTTTCTTAATTTCAACAGGCATGGCTTCCTTATTTTTCTTTGCGCACTATATGAGGCAACAATCTTCCTGGCAAATCAAAGGATCACAAGCTCAGAAACACCTAGATCAAACAATAGAAAGTGATCTGGACAGGGGATTCCTCGAGTAGAGCCCCGGATCGGGAAATGGCGCCATGCATACCAACAGCCTGGCTCATTGCTCGGTACTCGAGTCAGTGCTCGTATTTAGAGACAAATGTTTCGCTCATACTTTCCTCGTATCTCGAATTGCTCGTATATAGAGGTGCTCGTATCTCGAGGGCAACAATCTCTGTCGGTTAAAATTACAATCTAAAAGGGTATCTTAACCGAAAATTTTTTGGATCTACTGACTTAAACATTGGCAAACATCCTCTAACTCATTTCCACATCCGTGGTTATTGTTTCTTGCATTTGTAAAAATATATTTTCCATATTCTTTCAATTAACTCTTCCCGTAAAAAAACACAGCAATATACATATTTCAGATAAAGTTTGGGCTGCTCTTTATTTTCAAGTTGCAGACCAAGCGTGTTTGTCTTTACCTGTAAAGAAAATTCATGCTTGATGAGTGCGATAAACCAAAAACTGTTTCACAATCCACAAGTCATTCTGGATCGATGTACTCGTATTAGCCACATTGACTGTAGACAACAGAAAAACTAGATTGCTGAGTCATACTTTGTCCGATCTAATTGCCTTGTATGTATTTAAGAATCTCAAGGACTTTTTTTTAAGATTATATAGTAGTAATAGTTTATTATATCTGTATGTTTACTGTATCTAATATGTAGTATATAGTAGTAATAGTTTATTATATCTGTATGTTTACTGTATCTGTATGTACTTATTTCTGTATGTTATATCTGTATGTTTACAGAGTTTATTATATCTGTATGTTATTTTTCATGGAAGAGACTTGACCTTCTCATTATTATCGCAAACCATCTTACACGTGTTTTATATCATTTCTGAATGACTCCGCTCGATAGACAGTCTGATAGAGTTACGGTTATTATATCTGTACCTTTCAGCTAAGCAGAGTTTTATATCTCACCATATGGATGTTTGATAATGAGGAAGAATTGCTAAGTTGACCTGATTCAATAACATGAACTAGCAACGGATTGCTAACATTTTAACAGCGAGCAATATGACATCTTCAATCTCTAACTGTAGATTTGCAAGATGAAGGGCTAGCTATTTCTGATTAATCTTACCTGAGAAACATATCTTGAAGCTTTGCTGCTAGCATGTAAACAAACGTTGGGCTACGACGCTAACTAGAAATTTATCTTGCTATAAATCTGAAAATAATTACTTAAATTGTAAATACTTCTTAAACAATTAAATATATGTATTATTACGTTACATATCGAAAACTGTTCCCTCATCAGTAACCGTTCAAAGTTGGTGTAAATTAGATGAGCATTAGAAAGATTCACGTGAAATTCAGCTTGCTGGGGCGAAATTATATTAGCTACGTGTATTATATCGTTATCTCAATTTCCTATTTGTAAACTTGTAGAGTCATTAGGATTGTTGAAGCAAGAGACGTGAAAAATGAGCATTGCCCTCGCCGGGAGTCGAATTTGGACCTCTCGAATACGCGCCGAGTGTGCTAACCGTGACACCAGGAAGGCATGCTAAAAGGAGGGAGAAAATACGTTACATATTCACCCTTTTAAAGGACTACTGGGGATTAGGAGACCCAATCGCCAAATCCTGGTGGTGAAGAATCATCATCCGCGGCGACATGCAGAAAGGAGGGAGAAAATACCTTATAAACTTCAATGCACTCAAGAAATGTTTCACGAAGTTATCCTTCCTACAACAAAAACCTCGTATGCTTCATAGCAACTAGTTACATACGTAGCATTCTGCAGATTAAGAAGATTTTTTTTTTTTTTTTTTTTTTTTTTTTTTTTCAATTTTTAACTGGAGTACCTTTTGTAAATTTTGATATGAGGAGAAAATGGGTGAATTGAATTTACCCATGTGTACTATAAATAACTGAAATACTGTTTTCCTTAGGTTTTCAATGGGAATTATCCTCTTCTACAGGTTAATTATTTTTCAGGTTAAACTGATGATAAAGAACAAAGGTTTAGAGAAGAAAACTTATACAGTTAAAGGTGTTCTTGCTGTGCACACTACATTTTACACTGGGCAACTTAAAAACGCTGTTAAAAAGGAAAAATTTGAAATTAAGATTGCAGACGAAACAGGTAACATTTCAAAACATTTTCATTGAAATTAATCAAACGATATGTTTATTTCTTACTTTATTCTAATTTATGTTTTTAAATGTAAGTTCAGCTAATACTTTTGCTTGAATTTACAAATATGGAATATTTGCTTTCATTGTACTTATGATTCCATTCCCCTTTTTTTATATTTAATTTTGTATAAGTTCATCTGAAAAATTTGAAAAACTGTAGTGCTTTTTGATTAATAACAACAAAACTGTTGTTCAAACGTAGATATTTAATTAAAAATCTTGCATTTGGAATATCCAGAAATGCTTCAAATGATTCACTAATAAATAATTTATAACAATTTGAAACATTACTTTTGTCTTATGAATAGCATAAATTATGAATTTCTGCTGCCATACTTTTATTAATAGTCGAAAGAATGTTATTATTTTCCTAAAAAGTTTTAGACCTCTGTAAGTAATGATCAGGAGTTACTGAGAATCAGTGAGGCCGAAAATACTTCATTTATATTCCGTATGAAAATGCGTTGCTTATTAGCGCAATAAAGCGATAGAAAAATCGTCCTTTTATGTAATATTTTCGAGCATGTATTATTTTTATCCTTTATTATAATGAATAAAATACGTTTCTAACTCCATAAAATATATCAATAACAAAACTTCTTACTCTGTTGTTGTTGTTCTGACTTATCTCACTTGTCTGACAGCAATATTAGAACAAGCTCACGAAATTCATCGTGGCTAGGATTACACCTGTCCTTGGCAAGAGCCTCGAATACCATACAGGTGATAGTGCGTCTTCGCTCAGTACCGCAGTTAGGCTCCCTTAACCACCATACCGTCTGTGCGGCTCTTGTGTAAATTTGACTCACCAGCAGCCGAGCGGTACGGTCGCCGAACATTGTGAGTTTGGTCCGGAGTTCGAATTCCGGTGAACGGACTGGCTGTATGGGCGTTTTATGATTTTCCCCATGTGTAACGTATATACCAGCCAGTTTCCCTTAGGAAGTCCTTCACGAAGGCATTCTTTCCCTTAGGCAGATAGCCCTCGAGTGCTTAGCCAGAGTTAAATAAACTAAACTAAACTAAAGCAAAATAGGCTTGTGTAAATCTTTTATGCAATATCGTATATCCAAAAACGTCTAACTATCATAATCAAAGTTTTGCAGTTTATACAGATATAAACTAATAATGACTGTACGAGTTAACAGTCAATACATCATCGGAAATGAAGTCCTCTTTAAGTCAGGACCTTAAAGATCTTAAATCAATGCATAATCGAAAATGAAGCGCGAAAACACTAGTACAAGAAACAAAAAGAAGATGATGAAATTTTATTCAACTTATTTGATAATAAATGCTTACAGAAGCGATCTCTAGCCGTAATACAAACCTCACACCATTGGCGCATTGACTATCGTAGATCCCGAAGATATCAAGCCTCTTGCAGATCCTAGCTGCAATGGAAGATAGCCTAGCAGTGATTATCTTGAACGTAATGAGTGAAAGTCATGTAGGCTGGTCACTACAAGTGTTCTTCATAAGGAGGAAATCTATACATGACAAATCTGGTTGTTATTGTTGCTCATCTCCAAAGACTAGCAGTGCCAAATCAGGTCCATGACATTGTGCACCCTTAAGAAATCCAGAACCAGAAAGGATTGCCAGTAAGATCCTGCCTAGATTGCCGCAGTCAAGCAAGAATATGTTCAGGCGAAGTTTGCTTAGAACAAAATTTGGTGCAGAATTCAAAACACTTGGAACCCTCAAAAAATGTCAAAGATCTAAGATGCCCACTGAACAAGCAGGTGAGGGTGGTTTGATCTTGCCTGTTGCAATCAAATGATTACTCTGATACCAGAGGTTCACCGGTAGAACAAGACAAGAAGTTTTATTATTGCACTTAATCATGGAAAAAAGCCCATATAAGTGATAACACAGAAGGTACCAAGGCAGCTACAAATCCGGTGATCATTATGAATAGGCGGTAAGACTAGCTTGACAAGTCCATCGGCTCTCGATAGAAGCATTCAAACTAACAACGCACCTTCCTGCTGAAATACGCTGGCATTCTATAATTTTGATACTGTACTCAAGGTTGGGCGGCTTCTGGAGTATACAACAACTTTTCCCACAAGACTTCTCTTAGAAAAATGTGGTAGCATCTCTTGTCGAGTTAGTTGGGTAGGAATATAAAGCAAAAAAGTTCTTCATTCCTGATAATAGCCCAGGCTTTCTCAGAGAATCTTCACTGGCCAACATATTGCCTTCTTGCGTGTGGACTGGCATTCTCCAATCATTAGCAGAGTAACTCCATTCCGAAAAAAAAATCATTTTCATCCTAAACAGCTAATGGGCAGGGGGACAAATTCTGCAAGAAGATAATTCTCAACTTTCCGTCTGTATAAATGTGCGGAATGTAAGTATTCCCTTTATAACAATGCCTAAGTTAGAATATGCTTTTTTTTATCTCAGGTGTTATCACACACATGCAGGACCAGCATCATACCTGCTGACATCGAATAATCCCGTTTCACAAAATTGTCGATGCAAACGCTACACCACTTGCTTTGTGCCTTAACAGAAATTTGCCTTGGATATCTTAGATTCCTAGGTAACCTATGTACTGTACATGCTTGGCAGCTGCAAACGTATGGATTCTTGAATGTTCATATTAACGAATGCCTTATAACCATGATGTAAGAATTCGTGAAATATGTTCCATTAAGGATCCAAAAACATTCGCTTATAAGAACTATCAGAATGCCCTATCTTGCATTTTCCTTCTACAGTTCATACCAGGCTCTGCAGCATTTTTATGTCGCACATAATTAAATATGTTGGCGTCCCGTATATTTTAAACAGGTTAACAATGCAAAGAAAGTATTCTTTTTACTTAGTTGTCACTTGTGAGAACGCCTTACCTGGCGTCCTCCAAATAATTTCGCTGTAGAATAATTTTGCTGTAGGGTTTACATAAACGCTTTTGCATCGCAGATCCTGTACATTCTTCTACATTCAGTTTTCATGAAAACGAAATATATAACTGTAGTTTTCAAGAATCCGTTGTATTCTTTTCTCCTAACATGTTTCATTTAATTTTAAAAAACAAGTGAGAAACTTTAAATAAAATGTTTATCATTTTTTAAATTAATTTTTATTAGGCACAGAGATACATACCAAGATGTAAGGAATAATGTTCAAAATGAAATTTACATTTCGTTCAGTTAAATTTAGAAACACATAAATTTGCTGAGGCTTTAAAAAGTTATGCAGTATTTCTTGGTTGTATCATTGACATAAAAAATACAAAAAGCAAATCAGACGCAAATAATTAATTGTAATTTATTTTTCAAAAATAAACTATATCAGTTGTATAAAACATAATAAAAACTTTCATTCTATTTAAGAAAGAGTAAGTTCAAAAAATTAATAATAATGCCCTTATGACACATATAGTTTATTTTTTATTTGTTATATTTATTCATTCAAAATGACCCTATGTAAAATTGGACGATGATATGAGAAATAAGGTACATAATCTAAAATGTCTGCAGTTATATTCGTATTCAATCTTAAATCTATAAGTATTTAGTCTTAAATCTATAAAGAATTGCCGTCTGTTCTTGAATAGTTACTTGATACAATATTGAGATTAAAATGATGTTTCATAAAATCAAATGTCTTTTTATTTAGTTTGATGTCTATAACGAAATCTCCCATCATAATAATAGGAACATATGTATCTACAGCAAACTCTTTATCAATCAATAAAGTAATCTCAGAATAGTTCATCAATGTACCAAACAAGAACATCTTCAAATCTATTGAATTTTAACAGTTGGATGAATATATATATGGATACTAGAATAAATATTGACTGTCTATTAACATGTATATCAACCATATAAATGTAGAATCGGTATTTACTGTCTAGGAATATGGTGTTTATAAACTTACTTCCGATGTGGCTGTCTAGGGGCTAATAAACTAGTCCGATTTACAAATAACTTGGATATTTAATGAAACATGAATAGTTGCTACAAACTACAAAGTAATTACATACGTAGAAGGAAATAGATGAATTTACATAGATGATATATACAGATGAAGAGAATCGACTGTCTTTTACAAGTAAACATCTTTCAGTCGCGTCATCGTCTTAATGGCGGAATCGTCTGCCTTCTATCATCGGAAAAGTAAAAGATTTTCTCCCACAGCTTGTCGCGTCATCCGATTATAATGAACGATGCCAACCCACATAAATATCACCTGCTTCAATTTCTATTGTGTGGCTGCTAAACTCATCAAATTTCCGTAAATCGCAACATCACTAGATTGGCGAAATAAAACAAATACAGCAAACACCACCCGGATACACTGACAGTCTACGCGGGACTGTCTACCACATGATCTTGCCACTCAAGCGCGAGTGGCAAGATCGCATGCTCAGCTTTGACTTCATGAAAATTCCTCTATATGTGACGCGCTGCTATGCGTACACCCGTTGTCCAATTTAAAAATTTTTCTTAACTTTGCAAATGTGCTCCTTCATCTATCTAATGATGTATTTAGATTGATTATAAGATTTGTAGTTTCCAAGATATAAGTATTCGGGGACACCTGAAATAGCGTCTTAATTTTTTCTTTCTTTTAGACCATTATGAAAACGTAATCATACGTTAAAAAATAGATTGCTCATCATTTTAATACGTAAGTTATATGAAAATCTAATAAATTTTAATTATCTCACGTTACTAAACTGGGAAAAGTCTTCATGAAATTTAAAGCTGAAGTTTCGTTTTATGTATAAGTGTTGTAGTTGCAACGTTTTATTTCAAAATCGTAAGATTGTTTTCACAATTCGTCCACAGTAAGAAACTGCATTTGTAAGCTTATTACAAGATCTTTTCTTTTATTCATCGTAGTCTTACAGATATCCGTTTCGGCCTACAGAAAAATTAATTTTCTTTTTTCAGAAAAGGAAGTAACGATGAAAGTGTCGTATGATGAATATGAGAAACAAATAGTTGATCAGGCCGCTTTTAACATGATTGCCATGGCTCAGGTTGAAGAAACTGGATTCGATTATTTTGCACAAGATGACTTCAGAGTCAGGAAACCGGACGTTAAAATAGAGGTTTGATTTTGTACTTTTTAATTCTTTCTTTGCGATCTTAAAAAAGTTAAAAGACTAGGTTTTGTAACTTAATTCAGTTTTCTTTAGAAAGCTGATAAATACTATTATTTTTATTATTTTCTTTTTTCTCTTAATCAAATTGAAAAAAAAAATAGTTTATGAGTCTATTGTATCAATATTGATGGAGCTTTTTGTAAAACATTATTAGATAATTTGTTGAAACTTTCATGGAACTTGAATCTTTATACATAAGGAAATACTTCAAAGAAATTTTGTTAATTACTAGTTTATTATCAGTTTCTACTTACTAATGGGCCTTCTTTTTAGTTTCTACTTACCAATGGGCCTTTTTTTTATGGGGAAATCGAAGCTATTGCTGTGTCTATTCAACAACCGTCGATTCGCACCCACTCTTTTGTAAAAACAGTCATATTGTCAGATCCCAAAAGGACGCTTTAAGCCTTCCTGAATAATCAAAATAGTTCCCAAGTATCTTAGACTATAGGCCTTTGCGTAAGGCGATGGCACACAGAATTTCATTGCAATGGATTCCTACTCACTGGGGAATTATAAGAAACGAAAAAGCTGATACATTGGCTAAGAAAGGAACTTTGATAATAACTGACCGGACATGGCTGTTTGCGAGACTACCTCTATAGAATTGGAGTGATGGATTCTCCAAACTGTATTTTGTGTGACTCCAATCAGGCCATGATTTTTTAGCATTTAAATAATTGTATTGCACTTTCTCGATATGAGAACATTGTTAAAAAGTACTGGAGAGGCCGTGAACTATTGGCTTAAGCGGCTAATGTTTGGCATTTGTAAAATAAATAAATCTATTACGAGCTTTCCTTCTTGTACTTTCCTGAGTACAAAAAGTGTTTTAAATTTATTTCAATAAATTATTTATGCAATAGCTAAATTAACTGTTTGCATTTTCAGCCCCTACTAACCGTTGTTCCGTTTTCTTTTTCTTGATGTCTTGTATGTACACTTTCAGGTCGAAGGCGATCCAGTGCAAGGACAAGAAGTTAAAGTAATCGCAAAACTTAAAAATCCTCTTCCAAAACCTTTGAAAAAAGGTTACTTTACCATTGAAGGGCCTGGTTTATGTCAGCCTCTCAAATTACGTCTGAAAGGGTAAGATATCTTTTTTTTTTTTTTTTTTCCATTAAAATTTCACATGCAAAATTTTAAAACATTGAAAGGTATTAAATTTGTTTTCCAAGCACAGAAAAGGTTTTCTGTAATATTCCTTGAGTTTTAAGCTTTGTGCCCGTAAAATATATTGAAAATTTTTTAATTTTCAGTATTCTGATGGGTGTCTGAATCCAGTGAATAATTTCTCAAAAAATAACATTTCCTTAGTCTGACAACAGTCAAGAGATAGATTGAAAGCAAACTAAATTCGAAACTAATATTACTTGAAATTTCTGTAATGAATATACTATATTTCCTAATTCTAATAATTAAGATATGAGTTGTTTCGCTTTATTTTATTTATATCATTTTTAATTTCAATTAGAATCTTTTGACTTATTTCATTGTTAATCTCTTCTAAATAAAAATTTCAGCTGTCCTTTTGTAGTTTACATGTCATTTTCCCCCCTTAAACATAGATTTTATCTTGACAAATCTTTGATGTTTCTAATATTTCAACAATTTTTGCAAAATCGTATTTTCACAGAATCATGTATTCTACATATTTGACGTGTGTATTTTATTTGGAGTTTTCTTATACCACATTTGTACTTATTTTTAAAAAACGAATTGGAATTAACCCACCAATGGCCGAGCGGTAAAATCGTTGAACACTAGCAGTTCCGTCCTGAGTTCGATTCTTGGCAAACGGGCTGGCTACGTAGGCGTTTTCATGGTTTTCCCCATGTGTAACGTATATACGAGCTAGTTCCCTTAGAAACACTCCACGAAGGCATCTGTCTCTTCCTGTTCTGTCAAAGCTGCCAATATATACCTCAATTCGAATGAAAAGATTTTATTACATGCATAGTATTGCTGCCTTCGTTATATGAAGTATCATATACTTTTCTTAAAAAATTGAATTTCCCTTCTTTCTCACCTGCTCATATGGTATATTATCTTTAAAAATTATCATCTTAAAGTATATGAATTTTCTAATAAGAAATCCCAGAGACAGAATTTTTTAAATAGAAGCATCCAAATGGGAAAACTGTTCACTTATATGTACTTTGGCAATTTCGTTTTTATTGCCTTTTGTCTGAGTCAAACGTTTTAATCTATTGTTTAATCTTTTAGTTTACAATTCTGTCTTCTAATTTAAATATTTCAAAATTAAAACACGCTTTCAGAGCTAAGTAATCTTTTTACTAATTTTTGGTGAGTTTTCAACTTTTGAATTTTGCTAAATATTTGACTGAAAAACACTTAAAATGTTGGCCTTCAGAACATGCGTATTCTTTGGTATAAGAAAAGGAAACTATGCTTGTTTCTGAAATGGAATATTTGGTTTCATCGCATTTCTTCGATTCTAGGACGTCGTCGACAATAACGCATAGTAACGCACGTATCCCTTAATATCTCTACCGCAACAAGAGAGAAGGCTTTGAATGGAAGGACAAGAAAGAAATAAAGTTTCATACTATGTCAAGGCATATTTCTACCTTGTTGTAAGATGTACTCCGTTTCACATATAAGACGGGACATATAAAAACAGGATAATTCTAATATTACTTGAAACAGTAGAATTTTCAAAATTAGTGATTTTCCCGAATTACCACTTTAAAAGTTATCAACTACCCGCTTCTAAACTAAATAGGGAGTTACTAGAGAATTCCCTTGAGAAACTCCCCAATCACAATGTTCTTCAGCCCACTGCTGTAGTGCCTAGCTTAGCCTCTATAGTGCTAGAAATTTAATAGACTTTTTTTTATGCAATAAAAATACAGTATAACCACTGAGGATTGTATCTTTTTCAATAAGTGCTGCTTGTGTATTACGGATGTTATAAATGAAAGTACTAAACATTCCAAAATATGTGCAACACATTTTGCGTGCATATATGTGTAAGATAAAAAATACGTAAATCAAAATTATAATTTAAATTAACCTCTTAATTCTCCCTTTTTATTGTAAAAATCGTAATAACTTCTGTGGATTGCGTCATTTCTATATTAATCTATGTCACAAAGCTTGCGTAACGCTAATGACGTAGTTATTTCGGATTCTATACTCTTGGAACTGAAACCTTAAACCAAATCCTTTCTGTTAACAAACTGCCATATTGGATAAATGCGCAGTTATCTTGCAGCTCTGTTGCTGCTTGGACGCTGTTTCATTTTGCTGTGTATTGTCGTGCTGCTAACTATGTCGTTGTTTAAAATATAATACTCTATATAAAATTGTGGTGTGCGTATTGCGCTCAGGATCATGTGTAATAAAAAATATAGTTTCGATAGTAAGTACATTTAACATTGAGGTAAATTGCTATCTCGCCAATGCCAAACTGTCGATTGTTTTGGCAGCTGATTTGACTTGCCAAATTTGGCGAGAAATCGATATACTTGTTGACTATTTGGCGACATTTGGTCCTATTCCTATGAAACTGTAACTGGTATCTCTATGAAACTGTAACTGATCCTGCCCTATGTAACTGTAGCTGTGTATGCTTTCTAGCAGTTTCGAAAAATCGAAGATGCTAGAAATTTCTTAGCGGACGGGGAAAAATTATACTGGAGAAAGCATCAGCCTTTCAAATGAATTCTGAGTTTAGCTGAGAGTATTTTAGGTATTGAGACATCACTGTGCAAGCCTTACGCATTTGAAGCTTTGTATTTCCTTGTGTTCAACATCCTTAGTCGTTTGAAGTGGTAACTACTGATTGTGCCCTTTCATACTGAGAAGAGCTGTATGAATACTTTTGTGGGAAAAGTTTCAGAACTGTAAAATGTTTTTAGAAAAATTAATTTCAACGGGCTGTAGTCGGTTCTGCTTGCAGTCAATCCATTATGAACCTGTACGCGCGTAAAAATATAAAAATTTATTGTTGCGTCATCAGTTTGTTGTTGGACGTCAGAAATTCTTTCATCGATTTCTTATTCCGCGACAGACCCTCTTTCTTGAATGTCTTCCAATTTTGTCTTCAAACGTGTCTATTCTGATTTCTATAGCTTCGAATTTGTTTTCCATTATGCAGGTAATTTCTCTTTTTATTTCCTCTTGACCTGAACAGCTTTCATCTCTACTTTAAATAAATCTTGGTTCGCTTCCATCTCTTCTTTAATAGAGTTGACGGTCCCTTCTATACTTTCTTGGAATGCAGCAAAGGCAGTCACCAGTTGTCTTAATAGGTATACTTCAAACTACTAAGAACGTTAAAACATAATACAATGCAAAGCACATCTAAAAGGCGAAGCTTTCAATACTTCGATGTCGCTCGGAGCTAACAACTCACAACAACAACTGAGAGCAGATGCTCTTTCCACTCTGATATAGTTTTCACCCAACGCCGAGATATTTATAGTACTTTTTACTTCTCGAAATTACTGGAAGGCATATGAAGGACGAATTACGGTTACAGCTAATTAAGTGATCAATTACATTTATTCAATTGCAATACCTGTTACGGTAACACAGGGAACGGACCAAAATGTAGCCAAATGGTCGCCAAGTTTGTGAATTTTGGAAAATTCTCTCTAAATTTGTCGACAAAAATTAGTGGCCAAAAACCGTTACCAGGTTCTCGATATAGCCATTTACTCAATGTCAAACAGACTTGTTCCTGTATTGCTACATTTCCGGCAAGCATCGAAGCTTTAGATTTTCACGTTACATTATGCAAAAGAAATATTACAAATTCACGTTCAATTTCACCATAAATTATCTATCTATGTACAAAATTCGTAACAATATGTAGTAATTATTTAATATTTAAATATTATTATTATAATTATTGCTACATTTCCTTCATTATTTAATGTATAAATACTTCTACTTTAATTATTACTTTCATAATTATTTAATATTTAAGTACTATTACTTTCTTATCATGCTAGTTTAAACGCTAAATTTATGCTAGATTATTTAACATAGTTTTCACTTTTATTGCTACACATTAGGGGCTGTACTAATTTCTGTGCTATTTCTTTGTTTCACTTTCTCTTTCCTGAAGTGAGGAAAAATTATTTTACGTCATCACATTCTCACTAATGTTGAAATGTGTAGTAATTATAAATTAAGGCAGTACTCGCAGTTTACACATAGCTGCAATCTGTTAATTTATTTCTTTTGATAAAAGCAACCTGATCAAATTCTTATGAAGATTTTTTTCACTATTTAATACCCCCATCTTACAAAATCCTTACATTATAATTGCTGTGTTTTCAAACGAAAAGCTGTTAATTTCTAGAAGGCTGATATTCACAAATACCGATGTTTAATTTGAATGTTATTTGTTAATTTGCAGGGATGTCGCTCCAGATTCTACTGCTGAAGGTACTTGCAAAATTTGCCCAAAGACTTCTGGAGAGAAGAACATTGCAGCCAAATTTTGGTCGAGAGAACTAGATGATGTGGATGGCTATCTCGTGATACACGTGAAACCGAAACCAGAGGATGAGATCGTGAAACCAGCTGACAATGACTTAACCAATTGAAATTTATTTAGTAAGGATTGAATCCATCACTTGTGGAATCCTTGACAGAAGAAGTACACTGCGTTAAGTGGTTCTGTGAATCTCATTGCTTCTATGATTAATAAACACTGCCTTGCATACCTTGATTCTAGCTAATGCAAGCAAAAAGTGAATAAACGTGATGTCTACTTTAAAGTGCCTTGTAATTTTTTTTGAAAAGGAGTAAATGAGTTATTGAACTTCTGACACCAGACTGGAGGTTAAGATATGGATTTTTATACTTCTTCTTCCACGTGTTTAACTGCAACTGTCTACAGTTTTTCAAGTGTTCTTTAACTGCATGTATTTGAAGATTCTTGTGTCCCATTAACTGTATTCTTACGGATGAAAAATTGAAAAGTGCCTTTAAAGTGTGTGTTTTATATATATACCAATATTTTAAACTGGTGTAAATAATGTTTTGCTTTTTTTATCTCTAATGCCATATTTTTTAAATTTTTTTATGAATTTTTTTTATTATACTTTTGAAATACATACAAAAGATTGAAATACAGAAAATATTATTATCTGATATTAGATTCCTGTCGCTGATCAACGAATGTAAATTCTCATCCAAACTGCATTGAAATAATAATTGAAATGACTAAGACTATTTAATAGCCTTATATTTAATCAGTGATAGTTTTTGAACTGATATTACTTTATATTCCGGTATTTTTCTGTAGTATTGCTGTAGGCATATTCATTCTCTATCATATTATACTGGTGAAAATAAATCAATCTATGAATCATTAATTATCCTGTTCCGCTTAGCATAAAGCACTATGAGAAACTGATACTGAAACCGATTCTATATTTATATTTGTAAGTAACAGCCTGAATTTTTATTAAAGTGTGTATGTTAAGAATAAATTTCAAAAAACTTAAGCAATAATGATTTCAAATACAATAGGTTGTATACTTGGTATCGTCTAATAAAAGAAGACTGCATTATCCGATACTTAGTTAATTTAATCTATGTATATGAGCTTTGACTTGATTGTTTTCGTATTCGAAGTTTAAATGTGTACGTATATATATTTGCATACTTTGTTTTGGAGTCAAAGCATTTTGGTGCTTCTATTCCTCTTTTGTATAATTATTCTGTTCAATGTTTAATGTTTAAATTATCTGAAATTAAAGCGTCTGAAATGTTGTTATCTGGTTTTGAATTAATTTTACATTCATATTTTAGTATAGTATACGATTTACCGCTTTTAGTGAACTATTTATTTCATAGATGGCGCCACTAAAATGCTATTTTCAAATATGAAAATAAATGCGAATAAAATGAAAATTATACCATTAATTGATTTAATAGCCGATTAAATTTTTAATTCCATTAAATTTTAATTTCTTCCAATTTTTACAAAGCTAAAGTGGTCCTTAAAAAAAGCATTACATCGTCCGACATTACGAATGTCGTGCAACGTAGCCAAAAAATAAGCTTCACTTTTTTTTAACCGATCTCCAACTATGCTTCTGAGAGTTTTTGGAATGTGGAATTATTTGTGTAGTGATACTCCTCAGGTTATGTAGAATCTGGTTCTCAACCTTTTTTGTCCCATGCACCCCTTTCACCATTGCTTGAAGCTCCTTCCGAAAACTATCTCTGTCTCACTCTCTCTCTCTATCTATATATAATTACAAAATAATTCTCTTCAAAACAAAACACAAACATGCCTAGTCATTTTCGTGCATTAAGTTGCAGAACAATTATCATTAAAGACATAAATTAAGAAATTTAGAACTAAAATTTCACAAAGACTAGAAATTGAAATTCATAATTAATAAATTTGAAATAAACATATAAATACAACAATTAATTTAAAATGTTAAAACCAAAATATTTCAAACAAGCTAAAACCCCTTTTCAAAAACCATGAAATTTTTTACCATGAAAGTAAATTAAGCAAAAACAGAAGAGAAATTCAATCAATCTCAGTGTCACTTCATCGGGGGGGGGGGGGAAGGGGAAGAGCTTTGAAATTAATTGAAATCTCTCTTCTACAAAAATCCTTGCTTTTCTGTATCCAGAATTTAGCTGATGAACCATTTCAATGTATTTAAATTATAAGTATAATAGTTCACCCGAAAATTCTGCCCCTTCCCCAAAGCAAGGAAAAAGCAAAGTAAATTCTAATTCGAAACATCTGAAAAAAGAGAACTCCATCTCTTTAAATGAATTGAAAACGAAAGTGAAAAAAAAAAAAAAGTCTTCAGTGAATTTTTTAAAAATTTAAATGTCAACTTTTAAACAAATAATCCAGTGAATTAAGTAGTTGATAAACCTATTTAGAACCTAAAAAACGAAATTAACAACTCTCCTCACTCTCAATAGACTAAATTTGAAATGCAATACAGAAACATGCAATACAGAAATATTTTGGTTTTACATTTTAAATTAATTGTCGCATTTATGTCGCATATATATATATATATATAAACTTAAAATTCAGAAAATAGAAGTAATAGATTATACTACCCTGGGAAAATACTATAAATTGAATTAAAAGTATCCTGTAAGTTAATGCAAAGAAGATTTTTTTAAATATTTGAAATAGTTTTAATAAATTATTAGTTAAAAAAGGTTTTGAATGTTTTACATACGTAAAAATTCAAATATTTTTAATATTATAATTATTCATAGCTTAATGCTCCAAATCGACTTATCAAGGGGTGATATTTTTAAACATTAAATCTATATGTATATATATAGAGAGAGAGAGATTTATACAATTTTTCAGCATGTTTTGTAACAAAAACAACAACAAAAAAAAAAAAAAAAAAGGAAAAAATGTCCATAAATACCTAAACATGAATAAAAATACTGCTTTATATTCATAAACTAAAACTAAATACTTAGATGAATAAAAAGCTGACTGCAGCTCCCCTCCTGTTACTATGAAGTTCCCCTCAATGGGGTAATTCCTGTCTGGTTGAGAACCTGCTTTTGTTTTAAAGTCTTTCATTACGATTCAGTTGTTTGAGTATTAGTGCCATTTGTAAGATCAAACGGTACTAAAAGAAATGATTAAAACAACAAGCAATATTAATGGTACCATCTTAATATATAAATAATTAATCGAAAGCGATAGATCATACTACATCGTTGTCCATATCTTATTGTAACATTCTTCCTTCGCAGCTATTTAAGTATATTTAATCATTTCAGGATGGATTTACGTTAAACTGAAAAATGAACTAGTATGTAAAGTTTATAAATTATACTGCATTTAATTTTTCATAATAGTATTTTACGAAATCTTAAAAAATCCTTACTAAAACTGATGTATGTGTTTTGTTAAATTTATAATAATTTTGTCTTTTTAAATTAATATGGAAATTGTTACATTGACTACTATTTTATTCATTAGTTATATCTATTCAGCTGATGATAGTTTTTGTGATACACTTATATTTTTAAGACTTTTAATACCATTATAAATATAACGATTATAAAATCTATAAATGTTCATACTTAAATATAATATGTAATATCTTCCATGATTTATGTGGTGCATATTAGATCCGACAGAAAGAAATATAGTTTGCCCTTATGCTTTGATATTCATATTTGTACTTTATGGCTCATTACATCAATTCATTCGTGTCTTATTGAATTTATTTTTATTAAACATTTAAAAATAATATTGCCTAGATTTCTTTCACAGCTAATTCACTCTTTCGTACATTAAAAATGAGGTACTAGTTGATACCAGATAAATGTTGAAGAATGTAAACCATATTGGATTTCTTATCGGCAAATCGGCCTGCTGGTACCAAAATGGTATCAAGTTTTCTGTAGTATTTTTTATCTCATATTAGTATAGCTAAATGTGAGTAACTATAAGAGACCTGGTTATCAGTTTTTACTTCCTTATAAGAAGTAAAGGAAGTACTGTAGTCGCGAAAAATTTCCGGTGTCATATTTCAACGAAAATAGCCATTTTGACTATTCTCGAATCCATTTGAATGAAGCATTGGGCAAAGTAGCGTGAGAACCACTGTTCTACATTCCATTCCCCATATAATTAAATTATTCACTTCCAGAACTACGTCTATGGAAACAAACTAAAACAAATTTAATCAGTTTTGCCAATGCAAGAAAAGTATTTCTGCTTTTCACCTTCTGTCAATCTGAATACTTTGGCCCAAAAGTTCAGAACATCAGTTTCTTCTATAAGGTGTTTTCTCCCTTCTTTCTGCATGCCTTCGTGGTGTAACGACAGCACACTCGGTAATCGAGAGGGGTCCAGCTCCGACAGACGGCGAAGGCACTGCTCATTTTTCATGTCTCCAGCTTTAAAATAACTTAATGACTGTACAGTGGTGCCTGAACTAAAAAAGGTGATGGATTATTCTTCACCACCAGGATTTGGCGACTGGGTCCCCCAATCCCCAGTCGCCCTTTAAAAGGGAGAGTATATAAGGTATTTTCTCCCTCCTTCCTGCATGTCTTCGTGGTGTAACAGTAGCACAGTCGGAGCGCATTCGAGAGGTCCAGGTTCCATTCCCGGCCAGGGCACTGCTCATTTTTCATGCCTCCTACTTCAAAATATCCTAATAACTCTACACTTTTATTTTCTTCCTTTCTGTGTATTTCATTAACCATTTAACTGCTTAAGACGTTTTCATAGTTTCCTTTAAAAATGCTTTAGACGTGTTTACACGAATTTGAAATCGCTCGAAAAATGTTTAAGACGTGTATACACGAAGCCCAAATTTCGCCAAAATTGCTTAAGACGTGTATACACGAAGCCCAAATTTCGCCCAAATTGCTTAAGACGTGTTTAGACGATGCGATCTGGTCTTCTTTCCCCCTACCTTTCTGCAGACGGCTGTCAGTTGACACAAAGCTCTTAATAGGGTGTGAAGTCTGTTTGAAAAGAACACTTTAGGGAAGAGTTCTGAGAGTTAAGTATAGCAGGTGTGCGTTATCTTTCTCACGACTGCAAGCTTGTAAATGAAGATAAATTGTTTTACAACAGTTTGCCTTGTGGTTATTTACGCAAGTGAAAGTCAAACAGAATCGCTCGTTGTTACAATACATTACCGAAATTTAGAAGAAACAGAAAAAAATAATAACTGTAACGTAAGACGTACTTTTTAATAAATCATATATTATACAATTAAATATTTTATTTTAGCATTAAAAGTTGATTACAATTTCTGATTCGTCAAGAATAGGAAAAAATGTAAAATGCTGCAAATATCTATCTTGTTTGGCCTCGTATTTCAAGTGCCGATGTTTTAATCGTATATTCTTCCTTTTTACACTTTGAAATAGGAAAACTGTGCTTTCAGCATGCCTGATTTTTCTACTCGTATATGTGGCTGTGTGTTCCTTATAAAAGCGAACTGACATATAAAAATTTCTTGGATGTCGAAAGGAAGATATTCTACTCGAAAACTACAATTAAATCGAATAAATTCATATGCCGCAGGAATTTCTAGAAATATTTGTTTTTAAAAATTTTATTATTAAGATTTGAAAATCGAGGGAAAAATATGTATTTCTTGGAACGTTTTTGGAAAGAAATCTACCGATATAAAATCGCTTAAAATTAATAGTGTAAGTTCAGTAAAACAGTTAATGTATGAAGGGTTACATATACTGAGCACAAAAATTAGTCAGAGGAACAATTAGCTAACGAATTAAATTAATTACATTAAAAAAATTTCGTTAGAAAATAACCTCTCCAAATATCAGTGCTGATAGCAGCACTACGAATGAAAGTTATTAAATTCCTAACTTATAAATCCGTTGGTACTCAATAATTATGTACTACCAGCGGACGATCAGTAAACATCGCTGAACACTGGTAATTCGGATTCGAATCCGCGAAAGGGCTGGCTGCAAGGGCGTTTTTGTGATTTTCCCGACGTGTAACGTGTATACGAGCCAGTATCCCTTAGAAAGTTCTCCACGATGGCATCCCTCCTCTTAGACAGATAGCCCTCGAGGCTTTGCCGTAATCACATAAAACCAAACCAAATTAAAAACCAATAACTATGTGTTCGCGATTACTTTGCAAAGATTTTTTATAAAGATACAACAAAAGCCCACAGCGACCTAGTAGAAAATGGCAGTTTGAAGCAGTTTAAATCCCGATGAATGAGCTGCCTACCTGGCATTTAACGTGAATTTTTGCTGCCTATAATCCAATCTCATTTAAAAAGTCCTTCACGAAGACGTGCTCTGACTACGAGTCCTCGCTTGGGATTACGTTTGGACTGTTAGATTAATGACAAAGCTCGCAAAGGGCGATCTGTTTAAAGATGGTATGCTTTCGTGAAAGACCTTCTAAGGGAAACTATCTCGTACTGGTGTTACATATAGGTAAATTCACGAAAACGCAGATGTGGTGAGCCAGTCCACAGGGGTTTCAATCCAGGTCAAACTAGCATATAGTCCTTGCGTATTTTGTCATTAGTTAAATAAAATAAAATACAATGTCGCGAAAGTCACTTTATGCTATTGAAATGGCAATAACTTCGTATTATACAGGGTATCATTTTGCCTTTGTTATGAGATTTTGATCTTTTCCGTTATCCAAGATAGCCCACAATGGAATACTGGTAGTTCTATCCGGGGTTCGAATCCCGGCGAAAGGGCTAGCTACATGGATGCTTTCCTGTCTTTCTCATGTGTAACGTGTACACAAGCCGGCTCCCCTTAGAAGTCCTCCACGAAGGCATCCTTCCTCTTATGTAAATGGCCCACCAGCGGCCGAGCGGTAAAGTCGCTGAACACTGGTAGTTCGGTCCGAGGTTCGAATCCCGCGAACGGGCTGGCTGCGTGGGCGTTTTCGTCGTTTTCCCCATGTGTAACGTGTATACGAGCCAGTTTCCCTTAGAAAAGCCTCCACGAAGGCATCCCTCCTCTTAGACTGATAGCCCTCGTGTGCTTTGCCATAATTAAATACACCTACACCTACAACTACACCTCTTATGTAAATAACCCCCGAGTGTTTGCCATAA